TTTGCTCATTCCAAGGTGTAGATTCCTATGGAGAAGAACGAGCAAGAAACTCCATAGGTTACTCTTTTTCAATCAGGTTCACAATACAATAATACTTTCAATAAGCACTAAAAATATGGAACTAAACCCTTCATAGAACTTGTTGTTCTGCTAAAATACTATTTTCTTACCATCAAACCTAAATAGGTGCTGATCAGAATGGAATGTGGATCGATTTCAAAATAAATACCTAACAGTTCCCACTCCAAGTCAGTAATTTGGTTTTCGATTCTTAATCAATGCGATATAAATATGACAATGACGATTGTGGAAAGAATGTCGAAATTGCTCTTGTCTTTTTCAAATTAATTTGATGACAGGGTGATGGGCGCCCTAACCGGGTGATGTACTGTTCTAGCAGTATAATACCGCTATGTATGTACATTTTGCAATAAATAAATAATTTTATTAGATTCGATAATTTCAATAATGACATGTAATTTATAATTATGTTGGTGAAAAATGTATAGCTTTTTCCTATTTTTGATTTTATATATTGTTATTGTTGGTTTAGTTGGTGTTGGTTTGTATTGTATATTTGGTTTGGTTCTTAGCTGTCGCATTAGGGTACGTGATGCCCTGTAATGATAGTTTAAAGTGTTCTTAAATATAAATAAATAAATAAATAAATTTCCAAATTTATTACACTTAAAAGACAAGCTGTATGACATTGGACACACTCCCCTATACGATGGCGCTCACCTCAGCGATGCACGAAGTTACAGAATGATAACAATGTTCCGTCTTATTCAGCCGCATCTCTGTAACTTATCGCTGCATACTTATTCTGTGACTCGGCTCCACCTGTCTATATCCGTACGCAAACGTCCCATTGTTACACGTTACAATACGCAACGGTAATACCAATGTTTTGTAAAAATTCTTAATTAAAATATGCATTTTATGATACTCATGTACGTTTTCAATAATCTCTCTTAAATTTTAAGGAACCCCCAAGCTAAGATAGGTGACACTTAGCGACATTGTGGTTTTCGCTAATTTTCATGTGATACCTAATAGTACAGGTAAAGGATTGAGGTGGTTAGTTTCTTATTTAGAAAATATTATAAAATTATCAAAATTTTACCGGAGGCCCAATTACCCCCCTTCCTAATCTCCCCAATCCCCGATTGCCCAATAATTCTCAAATTCCTAATTCTCAAAAAGCCGGTAACGCACTTGTAACACCTCTGGTGTTCCAGGTGTCCATGGGCGACGCCGATTGCTCACCATCAGATAATCCGTCTGCTCGTTAAAAAAAGCATATTTTATGTAAAGGATAGGAATGTTTTATACCAGTGTTAAACAAATGATCACGGTTTTGATGATTATAGGTACCTATGTATGTTAGGTATGACAATCGGAACGGCCACGTCATAATGCAACTTGCTGCCATGTTTCCGGTGACACGGAGATTAAACGCAGCCAAATAGCAATACCTACAGCATATGCAGCAAACTACTAATGGCAATATTTTAATTGAAAACGAATACATAATCTCAGTAGTAGCACGGAGTCTGTAATTGTGCCCGGTATATGGCAATAGGCTCACCCCCTATTACATGGGACTCATAACATAAATAGTGAAAAGTGGGTATTACATTGTACAGTGGCATAATGTGCACCTCTGCCTACCCCTTCAGGGATAAAAGGCGTGATGTTATGTTATGTTATGTTACGAATATATAATTACTTTGGCCCGACATTAAAGTCGAACTCGCGACATTATGCGAATGTCTCCGTATGAACGAGTGTCTGTAATATGTATTGTGTTAAGGTGGATGATGATCTCAACTGCCATTTTGTCGCTAGATGGCGTAACATCCACAATTTGGAACATTTTCAATTTTTACGGCTAAGTTAGAAATCTTTAATAGATAACACTATTGTTCGCGACACCTAGGGCATTAACTTGATTTTTTCAGATAGTCATTGTGCTTGTTATCTGGTCTCAAACAAAGATTACTACAAAATAAAGATTTTGCCGCTTGACTTTACTTTTTACACACACATGCAAAGTAAATAGTAGTAACTTTCGACACCACTAGATGTCGATATACTATAAAAATATTAATTTAAATACTTGAAATTATGTCCCTATCTATTTCTTATTAGTATAATAATTGGTCTAAGTATACTTTTGTTTCTAGACTCGATATCTTTTCAACTTAGCAAATTATTCATATAAATTATTTTAGGTAATATAGGTACACTGTACTTATATCCCCTACTACAGTACGTACAGGTAGTAGTTAGTAGTAGTAGTAAGGTAGTAATATACCCTATACCTAATAAGTTGTTGATATGTGAATGAACCTAAATTGTAATGTATAAATAGCGACTTTACTAAATAAATAAATGAAAGACTATTTATTCCATTGTAAAGCTTTTTATTGTACCTTACTATAAATTAATAAGATTTATTTAGTAAAACAGGGTTAATATTTTCATAAAAATAATCGTTTTATTTACTCTCACTACATTAACTTAGATAGTTTCCATTTGGATTCAAACCATCGAGTCATACCACCACACGAATATAACATCACGCCTTTTATCCCCGAAGGAGTAGGCAGAAGTGCACATTATGCCACTGTACAACGTAACACCCACTTTTCACTATTTATGTTATGAGTCCCATGTAATAGGGGGTGAGCCTATTGCCATATACCGGGCACAATTCCGGACTCCGTGCTACTACTGAGAATTTTTAAAAACCCAGTAATACTTTGCCTGTCCCGGGATTCGAACCCGAGACCCCTTGCCCGGCGACTGCCGGCGTGCGACTGCACTTGCGACCACTCGGCAACGAGGCAGAATATAACATAATTTTTATATTTAGATATTTACAATTATGATTTTGAATTTAGTATTAGAAAGAATTATGTATGTACATTACAATATCAATAACATCATACGTAAGATTGTAAGAATCTTACATAACAACACACAAGTGGTTGCTAGCTAACCATAACATTTATTTATCTTTCAAGAATACCTATTTATTATACAATTTTGAACTTCAATAAATATGAAATAAATATAAAATGTTTTACAATTGAATTGTTAGGCTGGTACCTAAATTAACTACACAATAAAATAAGCTGTCGAAGTCGACCTGTACAGTAAAATCGTAAGGTGTGTAGCGAGCATTAGTGAGAACTATGAAGCAAGGTTTAAACAGTACAGACTGAGACAACTCTGACTTTGTGTGTTATGTGTTCACTAGCTCTTACCCGCGACTTCCTCTATTTGAATTTTAGGTTTTTTTAAAGCGACAAGCTCGCCACAGCCTCTCAATACCGCTGCAACTCCTATAAGCCAGGATCTATAGTAGATACAACCATGAAAACACCGGAATACTGAAGTCCGGCGCGTCCCAGGGACATGAATTCTGTCTTCGTTCCCGCAACGAAGTGAATCAGAAGATATAAGAGGACAAGAAAAAAATGATAGTTTCCACTTCCCTCGGTGAATTACTGCAGGAGACTGAATGAATTAAGCCTAAAGGCACAAAAAGAGACTGTACAACTGAATTTTAGGATATAACTTTCTTTTTTGTTTCTATTTACCAAAATACATAAAAGTAGCCTATGTTAATCCTTAGTATCTCAGCTACTTGCCAGTAAAAGTCCCGTTCAAATCGGCCCAGCCATTTCAGAGATTAGCCAGTACAAACAAACAGACAGACAGACAAAAATTAAAAAATGTTATTTTGGTATATGTATCGAATGTATATTCAAATGCATGTAGTAAAAAGCGGTTATTTCAACATCACTGACACTCTAATTTTATTTATCTGTATTTATGTCGTCGTCATCTATTCGTACCTTAACAATGTGCACCTACATAGACGCTCGAATAACAATAAATGTCTATTCGTATTCGCACTAAAATTTGCAGTTTTATTTTAAACTCTGCGATTATCGAAATAGGCCCTTGATTGCAGTGAATGCACTCAAAATGTGCGCGTAGAGTGCTTGCGACGTTTAAAACGTATTTAAAAGCGTAATAATAGTCGTCGACGCGCAAATTATTTGTCCAGGAGAGGGTTTGCAGAGTTTTAAGTATTTACGATATTTTTTGCGCTGTGTAACACTCAGTCTTGAATTGCCATAATTGAAAATCTGTGTCTGTTATATGATATGACATTTATTTTGTAATTTTAATATGTATTTATATTGTATAGTTCTATCTATAATTTAGAAAAATTATACTATTCTTATTTCTTTTTTATGGAATAGGAGGCAAACGATCAGTTGTATCACCTAATGGTAAGGCGATCATCGCCGCCCATGGACACCCTCAACACCAGACTGTAACTATTCTTGGAAAATGCAAAAAAAAAAACAAAAATGAAACTCGAAAATAATTTTCTAAAAAATATATTTTCTCAATAATATAATTCTATTATACATTATAATTATATTAAGTTATATATTAGTAACAGAGCTCGTAAGTAACTTGTATATTATAACAAAACATGAATCAGTTACACCATAGAACTATATACTGTTCTGACAGTTTGAGTAGAAAAATAAATATTTCAACAGTGGCAACACATCGAATTTATATCATGTAAACATTTATACTTTGATACATAAGTTGCATAGTATTATTAATTTTCCTCTTCATCATTTATTTATTGTGCCCAGTACAACGTTAAATTATTTATTAGTGATATGAAAGCAATATCGAATTGTTAGCTGTCATCTATAGTACCATAGTACGGTGATTAAACTGTCAAACACCAAGCGGTCACCGGTGACCGCAACCTATTGTTCTATGATGTGTCTACAAAACCGGTACTCGACGAGTTAATTACGTTTAAGCGAGATGACTGCACGGTTGGCGCGGTGTTTGGGCAACTGGCAGTCGCGCAACGTGCCGCGGGTTCGATTCCTGCACGGGACAACTGTTTGTGTGATACACAGATTTTTGTTTCCGGTCTGGGTGTCATGTGTATATGAACTTGTATAAACATATGTTTTCACATAGGAAAATCATTGTGTGGGGCAAAGTTTTATAAAAAAAATAGAAAAGAAAAAAGGATTGGTCAGATTCAATGAATCAACCAATCCGAGGGCGGAACGCGGTCTCCGTTCGAACTCACTAATTTATTGATTATTAACTTCTTTACAAAAATTGTAGTGAATGGCAGATTTAATGCCTTAAGGCATTCTCTGATAGTAAACTATAGGGAAGTGCAGAGACATGAAGCGGTTGATGCGTTAAACGTAACACAGACACGTACTGAGCTCTCAGGTAAGTTAAATAGAAAATTAGATAACACTATGCAAAGACTGTTAAAAATGCAAACATCACATAGCGCCTATAGCTCTCGGAGATGTACAGACGTAAAGATAAATATAATTTGCCATTTATACTAACTTCTTATTATATATAGCCTAGTACCAAATGCCTCACATGTATTGGTTACAATTGTACTGTTGCCAGCACTTCAACCTACTCCGATATGTCATTGAATTTTCGTCTTTATATCTAAATGATAGAGTCGAAAATCGAATAAAGAAATTTGACAGAAAAGAGTAGGTTGACCTGCAACCCATTATACACAAATAAATAAACCTGTTTATATGAGTTACATTTATACAAAATATGCCAGCACATGAAATAACCCCAAGCTTGTTCAGTTTCAAGCCACACCGGGACTCACATTCATGATCTGTGTGCGCGGTGTACGAGTTAAATAAACAATACTTTCACATAGTCCAAAGATTTTTAACTTTATTGTAAAATGTTTAAGTTGATATCTTTTTGAGAGATTAGGATAACTTCATGTGCTGGAGCTTATACAAAATCAGTTGTGTTGTATAACATTAATATTCCTTTAATAAATATATTTAATTTTATAATAATGAGGCCACGGAGCAAGTGGAATACAGTCATTATGATACGATTACACAATATCGTGATACGGGAGATTAATTTTAAACTCTAATCAGCATTAGAGTTGTGTTTAGTGAACTCCGTGGTTGTTATCGTCAATAGACGTTTGAACATTGTGTAGTTGGAATACGCTGGTCAGTGATTTTCACCCCTTATATGGAATATATGAACACAGATAACAGCAAATCTCAATAACCAAATTCGGTAAATAACTAATTCAGTCACTAAATACAAAATGAACTTTGAAAACCGACTTCTTGCTGCCGGAATAGTTTACCTTCGACTCTGGGGTGCACTTAGGAAGTTCAGAAGTATAAATTTAAATAACCCAAGTTCTATTACCTCTTGACGACGACGTATAAGGGGTGTAAACGAGCTAAGTCAGTGCGTGAGTGGTACAGAGTCGAGCGAGTTCATCGCGCGTACACCTGCAGCTGCGCGGCCAGCTGGAACAGCGCCTTGAGCCCCGGCAGGAAGCTGGCCACGGCCGCGAAGTCCGGCCCCGTGGCCAGCGACGTGGCCACGGCCAGCGCGGCGCCCAGCTCGCCGGCCTGCGCCTGCGCCGCGCACGACGCCAGCGACGCGCACGCGCTCTCCGACAACTGCGGGCAGCGCGCTACTTAGTTCATGTATATACTGATATTATATAACAGATGCGTTTCATTTATGCACCTATTTACAAAACTAGGGATGGCAATTGAAAAACATATTATTATAGTGAATTACTTAACACTGCGGATGGCAGATACTAAGAATCATCACAAAACTAGACTAAAAAATTGGATCGTTGTGGCGGGTTTATGCCGGAACTTCCACGAACATTTCAACACCAAAATAAGCCAAATCGGTTCAGCCGTTCTCGGGTTTTAGCGAAACTGACGAATGGAAATTTATTTATATAGATAGATGTAGATATTTGGACCATATAATTTTTCTTACCTTGTACTCCCGTAGCATATCATAAAGAGTCTCCAATCTTCTTTGAACGTCTTCTAATTTCCTCTTCATTTGCTACAAATAACCAAAATATTATTATTATTATTCAAATCACAAAATAGGTCAAAGAAAATAAAAAGGAATAAATGCGTTTTTTTGTCAAATACATATAATTGTATCCCAAAAATACCTGTTGACTTTTACGTATAAAGCAGCTCAACTCAACATTACGCAAAGATGTACTTAAAAATATATAGTTTTGTAGGAAATTATAATTTATTACTAGCTTTTCGCCCATGGCTTTGCACGCGCTTCTTCAAAAGGTTGGCCTAATAATAATTATATCAATTTCCAGCCTTCTACGTTAAAAAATGCGGGATACTCCATACAAACTTCCACCCCTATTTTAGGAAAGTGGGGGTTTCAAAAGAGACAAAAAATAGCCTATGTCACTTACCATTTCTTCAAATAAACAGACACACATACTTCCGTGTTTATAATATTAGTGTGGATTCATGATTCATGTAATATTGTGTATTAGTAAACTTACAGGGTTAGTGGCCCTGTTGGTGCATTCAGTCCGGATGGCATCGAACACGGTCTGCAGCGACGCGTACTGCTCCGGCAGCGGCGGCTTCTGGACCGGAATGGCGGGCTCCGCGGGGACTGGACTCTCCGGCTATGAGAATGATTATTATAATTTTTACCTTTAAAACAACACCCAACTAAACTAACCCTCTGTATTATTAGGTGTCACTTATAGGTTTGTAAAAACTAAAATGTCGTTAAGTGTCACCTATCTTAGGGGTTCCTTAAAATTTAAGAGAGGTTGATAAAAACGGGTATGATTGTCGTAAAACATATTTAATTATTTATATTTACCGGCTTGCTCACGCGCAATGCTGCTCATGAATACGAGTCCATAGAGTGACTTTAATCTAGTCGAGTTACCTCATCAATATGTGAGTAAGCGGTTAAACAATACCTAAATAGATAAATTATTTTCCCATTCACATTATAAATAAATCACTTATAAAATAAAATAATAAAATAAATTTATTTCAGACATATTGGGTCCATACATTTACAGTTTATTATTATTAAATATATACCTACATTCTTAATTAATTTAATTTAATTTATTACATTATAACACCGCATTATCAATCATTAATTTTTATTATATTGTCAATTTAACTCGTCGAGTACCGTCATTATAGACACAATTATAGGACAATAGGTTGCGGTCACCGGTGACCGCTTGGTGTTTGACAGTTTAATTAATGTCAATTTAGGTAAAAAAATATCATCACATCCAACAAATATAAAGAAGAAATGAAAAAACAATATTTTTTTTAACAATAACTTATACTTGTCTCAATAATGCTACTTTACTGTAACGTATACAAACCTTTTGCGGATAACCAGGCGTCATATTCTGGGCCTGGTAATCAGGGTAGGAATTGCCATACTGTTGTCCGTACTGGTTGGGCTGTGCATACTGTCCGGCCTGTGCATACTGTCCGGCCTGTGCATACTGTCCGGCCTGTGCAAACTGTCCGGCCTGTGCATACTGGCCCGGGTACTGGGCGGGGGTCGCCAGTGGCACGTGTTGGGGAGGCTCCACCCCAAACAGTGGGTGCGTGATCGGTGCCTGTGCTGTTACTTCCTGCTTCGGCTACAAAGTAAAAAAATATTATTGCAAGAATCTGTTCAGTTTAGAAGTAGTTTTAATACTTGACAATGAGTTTTTACAATGTCCCGTTTACATTTTAAATTCCAAGACACTCTTTCGCTTAAACCACGGAACCACGAAACCTATTTGAGTGCAATTCGGTACAACGATAGTATGAGGCCCGGAAAAGGACATTTGTCATAGTACTGAGTAATTTTGGCGATTGACTCTTCTCTATGAATATAAGCATGTAAGTTCTGTTTCATGTAGAAGGCTAGCTAATCTTTCTTATTCTCATTACAAGCTGGAACACGTAGTTGAACAAAGGTATTTGACCGATACAAGTCATAATAAACCGCTTTCATTAATTAATAATTTAACATCTATAGGTAAATTCATAATACAATAAGTCTAAGACTTAATATTAACTAGTAAACGCTATGAACAAACTCAAACCACATTCCGCAAAGAACACATTATACACATAAACTCAAATATTTCAGCTATATCATGAATGATAGACAATCACACAAAAATTACTAAACGTGTTCATTTGGAGAATATTCCAGTATTTAAATCAGCCTTTAAAAATGCTCATTCGATGTCCAATCACTGTTTATAATCTGTGGTATTCGTAAGAGACCAAGAGAAAGAACTCATTTCATCTCTCGATATAGTTTTATAACAACTATCGTGAGACATACTGAAATAACTAAAAATAACGTTTTGTTTTGCTCTGTTGTGAACTATGCCTTATAATTGTTAATTGGAATTTAAACAATACCTGCCGAGGCACTTACAACTGTATGCATATTTGCTGACGAAGGGATACCCCCCATCACTGGCAATGTATGATCAAATATACGTCGCAGTTACTGTATAGACTCAGTCACTAATCACAGAAATTATTGTAGCACGTAAAAAATTGTGAAGTCTTAAATAAAGTTATTATTAGCAGCACTTGTGGTGATAATTTCAAAGGGACTTCCGGAGCGCCATCCTAACATCACGTGACATCACTATGTTAGAGCTTTTCTCGGTTAGTACACGTACGAACTGAGAAAAGCTGTAATAGTTTCGAGTCACCGAGGGACTCTTCCTGTGAGCACCATGCACGGTCTTTTTTTTCACGGTATATTTGAGTAAACCGTTATTTTTAGTTAATCCCTTCATACGCTTGATCATTCACATATCCACAAAATGATAACCTTTTTAAACTACGCATTCTTAATTCGCACAAAACACTGCGCGGATATTAAAAAGTAAATTACCCTAAACACACTAGTGAGGTTAAAAACAAGGGAACAATCTCAACTACTAATTTCTGAGAGTCTCTAGTCTAAATGTTATGCACAACGAAGTTCCACCTCACGTCCTCATTGCGATTTAGGCGAAATGTCTGTGAGATGGCACACACTGGTAAAAAAATCTCACAAAAACACGTCAAACTTGCATTGGAAGCCAATTAGGAGTTTAAAACCAGGATAGTATGGAAGAGATTACAATATTACTACATTTTAGTGTGGGACGGCGGGGTATGGTTGGGTATGATAGAATAAGATACAGTAAGGCTTGGGTAAAAGTGGGAAAGGATTGGGTAAGGCTTGAGTAAGATTGGATTAGACTTAGGTAAGGTTAAGGTAAAGCTGGGTAAGGATGGGAAAGGTTGGGTAAGGTTGAATAAGGCTAGGTACAGACTACCTCTGCGTCCCGCCGGTGTCGGATGGCATGGTCCCAGCGCCGAGTGCCGGCGTGGAGAGCCGACATGTCACACGCCTCAACGTTCCCCCAACCCTACTCCACAATATACTTAGTTCTTTTACTAATAAATAACCTTATTTTGTGTCTGTTCTCAACAAATAGAAGTATAAAATGTCAACACGACAATTTTACTTTAACTATGATTTCTAATGCCCGAATATTGAAAGGCTACTCAATTTGAAGTTCTACTTAAATATCGTGCCATCTTTGTCATTTTACAAAGAATTTGTAGAGACAGAACCATACTTAAGCGAGCCTTAAAATTAAGTACGTTTCAGTATTCGGGTAATAATATCAAGTGGACTTGTAGGTAGCCCTAAATAGTTCTGAGTACATTTGATAGGAAATGGTATAAAATGTAACATACCTTAGGTTTCGAAGACAACATGGGTGGATCGTTCCAACCTGGTGGTACAGGCTTCGACGGAGCTAAGGGGGCTGCAGGTTCACGGGCTTGCACCGGGTTGAAGTACGTGCCATTGACTGCCGGGGCCTCGCTCATTTGTCCAGGAGCCCCGCCCATTTGTCCCGGAGCCCCGCCCATCTGGTTCATGGGTCCCGGTGAGTTGTATGAAGGAACGCTAGTAGCTCCATACTGGTCGGGTAAAGGACTATTGAAACCTCCGTAAGGTTGTGACGTCACTGGGTTGTTGAAACTGTACTGATTGTATAGCGGGGCCGATTGTACTGAAGGATCCACTTTGTATTTGGAGCGCGCACTGATACCTGGAAGCCATAGAAATAACATTAAGTACGAGTATTTGTTAAATCATGCGTAGATGACGCAACGTTAGGTTGCAATTATAAAATATATATGCAAAATAATTCTTTAAAAGTAGTTTCTAATATAGTTATATGGAAATTGTAATCGTAATTTGTGGTGAATCGACGCACCTCCTTGCGGCCCGACACTGCCGGGGCGCGCCGGCTGCGCTTGCGGCGGGGGCGGGGCTTGTGGCTGCAGCAGCGCGGGGGGCGGGGCCACGGGCTGGAGGGGCGGCGCGGGGGCAGCGTAGGGCCCGCGCTGTGACAGGGCGGGGGCCGCCACGGACGACTGGCCCCATGGCTGCTCGTACGCGCCTACTATAACATAGTAAATTCGTCAGCAATTGCTTAAATGTTATGATTAAATTAACACCTGTTTTACAGAAGGTATTTGTGCTAAAATGAAATTTTCATTAGGTGATTCATGTATCTTTCAATACTTTATAAATATGTGAATGGATAATACGATTTGTGATTGTGAATGGATGAATAAAATATCTGTATTAGTACATTAACTTCTAAGTCTCCGAGAGCACACCGGTGTCCTTTTACTCAATCCATTATAGACCTTATTTCTAAAACCTAGAGACTATTTATGTATGAAAAAAATTTGAACAAGTTGCAAATATATCGTATAGAATATAGATATATGACCAGTTACCTGGAGGAGCATACGCCGACTCCGAGTGCGTGGGGCGGCGGGGGTGGGCTGCACTGTGGACGCGGCCCGGCTGGGGCTGGGGCTGGGGCTGCTGGGATAATATTATATCGCTAGTTATACATGCATGTAACAATATATTGATTACAGAAGAGGTTGTACATTGTTATATGCATTGAGTGAACTTAAAATGAATATTTTTATAACATGAGAAGGGACAATCGGTATTCAGTAACTTCACTTATGCGCCTTTGGATGGATTTTCTGTGCGGCTGTGGTATAAGCATTTATACCTCGGTTGCACAGTAAATCCATCCAATCGAATTGACCCGTTCGTGTTGAAGTATGGATCTCGCACGTGGAAGATTATCAAAAACTAGCTTCTGTCCGTAACTTCGTCCAGCCATACCTTTTTTCTCGTTCCTGTATTCCCCTTCCCCCCTATCTGGTTTTAAGTTACCTCTTTACGAATTTTCAGCTAAAATGATTAATTATTGAATTATAAATAGTGTATCAAAACAGTGTTCGTTTAAAATGTATGTATGTATAAAGGAGTGGCGTGAGTGACCTGGCTGGCCCTATGCGGCAGATGTCCGAGCGCGTGCAGCAGTCGGTCCCGGAGCGCGGAGTGCTGCACGGGCTGCAGCGTGCTGAGCGCGGCGTGCAGACAGCCCTGCGCCGCCAGCCGGGACGCGTACTGCGACAGCACGGCCTCCACGGCGCCGCCCACCTGCGCCAGTACATGTACATGCTCGACAATCATACCAGAAACTGTGACCACACATGGCAAATGACAGAAGACGCACAAAGATGATGGACGTACAAATCAAAGGATGACGTAATAAATTCTACATCGCACATGTGAAAGGGCATTGACTTAAATTGGTGCTTTACTTTTTTCTAGCGGCAGTCGATGATTCCTGGAAAATATTATATAGAATGACATTACAAACGAAATTGTCTATGGGCTCATATATGGAAATCTCAGTCTGGACTGGACTGAGTTATGAGCATTAAACTGTCAAACACCAAGCGGTCACCGGTGACCGCAACCTATTGTTCTATAATTGTGTCTATTTTGACGGTACTCGACGAGTTAAAAGGAGGTGGACTCAAACATTTTACCTTAGTTTTTTTATTCGTATTTTTGTAACAATTCCTAACTTCAAATTACGCGCCACTGTACGCCGGGCACAGGAACACCATATCACACCACGATATATCCATATTGCCAGGCACTAATTTATATTACCTATTTTCTCTCTGTCAATAACTTGTGGGATGCTTTTAGGAGTTGTGTCATGAAGCTTCATGAGCGTCAGCTGTGGTACCAGTGGTGGGTTGAGTAGTGGTAGCCGTCCAAACATCTAACAAAGTATTTTGCCGTTAACTCCTGGTTGGAGACTCATCTACTTTATAGTTAGCATAATCTTTTGAAGAAAGGAAACCGGCGACTTTGTAATTTGATGGACTATACGTCAAATGAGGGCATAATTTTTTAATATAATGTGATCAGTCGAAATATAAATATCATCACTTTGAGACTGAAGGACGATATCTTTCTACAGAATCTTATGCTAGCTGTAGATTAAAGTATTAACTGTAGTTAGATTAGCTACTAATCGGAAGTAAGTCGGGAGAAGTAGACAGAAAAATCATTTCTTCGTGTTTTGACCCCAGCTGACAAACATAGCATTTCGTGATACGGCTCAGTAAAGTATTTTGCGGATTTCCGACTGAGAGGAAATTGATCATGAAAATCTGTCATAGGCCATAAACCGTATAGATATAAAGTGAACACCCTAGCCAATAGCCAATCGAGCGAATTTTTTTTTTTTTTTACTTCAGCAGTGGCCAGGTAATGGTTTAATCTGTTCTGATTCCGTGGCCTTAACATAAAAAAGGAAACAAAAAAAATAAGTAAAACAGTCCACAATAAGCTTTACTAAATTCCTTGAAATCGTTTATAAACATTTATTACAAAATAATTCTGACAAGAAAATGAAGAAATATGCGTTGTGTACGGTCACCATCAACAAAATAACAGGAGTAATATAGCACTATTTTCACATCTTTGAACTGATTTAACTCGGTTTGGACTGTGTTTTTGATATAAGACCCCATATATATTTTTGTTTGTAATATTATTCTGCATCAGTTTTTCCACATTCGATCAACTGCCGCGAAAAAAGGCACCACGCTCCATACAAATTTGGTCATTATCATTTACAGGCGGATTAACAACGATAGAAAATTCGAACGAACTATTTTTGGACAAAAAGCCTGCCAGACACGATCAGCTTGCCAGGGGAGGTAAGGTGATCATGATTTGCGATCTTAAAAATCTGTACTCAGTTCCCTAAAAACCTTAATTTTTAAAAGTACTCTATGTAATAGAAGTTTCAATCAAAAATATGACTCGTTCCTTGTCAAAACAAAACATTATATTCGAAGACATGTCCACAATGGAGGCTATTTTTGCACACCGGATGGCGCTAATGTGATCCTGTCGTTCTTCTTCCAATAGGGAATTAGCTAGTGTCATATCATTAGACATTTAATTTGTACCAGCTACAGAGATTGGACAAACAGACTTCTTGCTTAGTGCCATCTGTTGAGCAAAAAACCGTAGGCCTCATTGCGTAATGAGAGTATGAGGTACAGACCGGTACGGGGCGGCCCCGCGCCTGCGCCGCGCGACGCGCCAACAGCGCCAGTTGCGCGCGCGCCGCCAGCGCGTCGAGGCTGGGCGCGGGCGCGGCGCATGCGCGCGCCAGCAGCGCGTCCGCGCTCATGGCGCACAGGTAGCACGTGCTGGCCGCCTCCGACAACCCCGCGCCGCTCTCCTTCGACAACCTGTCCCCCAGCAACTCTGCCACACAAACACTACTACTGTCTTAACCACTTCATAAGGGGCGGAAATCAAATTACTTGGGTGAGGAGGTGAGTGTCTCTTCCTGACTTAAAATCACCGCGTTCCGACTCATTGAAAGAAGCATAGCAGGTAGAAACAAACTGAATAGGGAGAAAGCAGACAACTACGATCAAATGTATTTTTGCTATCTTTCATATAGCGTTAAACGAAAAGATATTGACTGTATAGAAGAACTTTAATAACACAAGGATCAGTTTCAATGAAGATTGGATCCAGTTACCGCAGTAATGGCTGGCAGTCTCCTGGTCGCAGTGCGTGAGTATAGCCGCGAGGGTCTCCCTCCAACTGGCGGGCGCAGCACTAGCCACGAGTCCCCCCCAGCCCCCCAGTAGCAGACTGCCCGCCACCAGTGACACGGGGGACCCGGCCGTAGAGTTCAGGTGGTACTTCTGCACCTTCTGGAGGAGCTCAGGGCTACCTGACAACCAAAACAAAAATATTAAAACGAACTTGAAGAAAAAAGAGCAATCGATCTGGAAACCATAACTCTATGGGTACTGAGAAAGTTGAAAGTTGTGTTATAATTACTATTGTATGCATTGAAATTAATAGCATAGATACTAGCGCCACTCGGTATTTACTTGTACTACATGTAATATGTTATCTGTGGAGCTGAATAAAGTCAGTCTGTGTCAAACACTTCCTGCGTATATTATTAGGTTATGGGCTATTACTCAAAAAAATCGCAAAATAGTTGTTTTTATCATTTCCTGGACTTTCATGGACAATTAATCTTAAATTATTATTATTATTTCAATTCAAAATAAGTTAAACAGTGATCTCAAATTGTGTTTTCATAAACTGTGCAACGACCGTAACTTTGAACAATCGTAATGGCCGGCAGTTACATTGTAAATGTGCCAAAACTAAAAGGCAGAGAAAATTACGACGAGTGGGCATTCGCGGCTGAGAATTTCCTGTTACTTGATGGTGTGGATATAAATGAAGAATCTGCAGGCGATGTGGCTTCGGTGGATTTAAAAAAGGCAAAAGCAAAGCTCATCATGACCATCGATAGTTCTTTGTTTGTTCATATTAAAAACGAAAGAACAGTAAAGGAAGTATGGAACCGATTGAAAACGCTCTTCGATGACTCGGATTTCACACGCAGAATCGGATTATTACGTCAACTCATATCAATAAGATTGGAAGACAGTGATTCTATGACGGCATATGTAACCTAGATGGTAGATACGGCTCAGAAACTCAAAGGCACAGGATTTGAAATCACAGATGAGTGGGTAGGCTCATTATTATTAGCAGGGCTGAGCGAAAAATTCGCGCCAATGATAATGGCCATAGAGCACTCCGGCATAAAGATAAGCACCGATGCCATCAAAGCGAAGTTACTCGACATGGAATCGAGTACCGTTGGCAGTACTGATGGAGCACTTTTGTCAAAGAGTTGGCAGCAGCGTAACAAGAAGCGAGACTACAATGTCAACATGTCAAAATCGCAAACGTCAAATAAAAAAACAACAACAAAAGCTGTACGGTGTTATCGTTGTAAACAACCAGGACATTATATGAATAAATGTCCACAAAATAGTCGTGAAAAGACAGAAAATGCATTTAGTGCCATATTCTTGAACCCGCAAAATCAGTTTCGAGTTTCGGATTGGTATGTAGACTCGGGAGCGAGTTCACACATGGTTGTTGACAAGAATTCCCTGGAAAAAGTTATACCCAGCCACGAAGTGAAGAATATAGTTGACGCAAACAGAGAAACAATACCCGTGTTGTGCGCAGGAAATACGAGAATAACAACAGTGATTGACGACTCAGAATTTGATATTCCCGTGAAAAACGTGTTGTGCATACCTAACCTGACTACCAATTTACTCTCAGTGAGTCAGCTTATTCAAAATGGAAACAGTGTTAGTTTTGAAAAAGATGTTTGCTATATACGCAATAAACAGAATGCACTGGTTGGTAAAGCCGAATTGGTGAATGGCGTTTATAGGTTATGTATCAAGTCACCTACATTGTTTGTAGCCTCAGCGGCAGTTGCAACAAGTGAGATGTGGCATAGAAGATTGGGACATATCAATAGTCAAGACCTTAACACTATGAAGAATGGTGTAGTAGAAGGTATTAGTTATCCTGACAGAGCAGTGATTGATAAATCCAAGTGTATAACCTGTTGTGAAGGCAAGCAGGCTAGGCTGCCATTTAATCACAAGGGTACCAGAAGTGAAGCTGTGCTTGAGCTGGTTCATGCTGATGTATGTGGACCGATGGAGCAAGTTTCAATTGGATCTTCGCGCTACTTTTTGCTCTTTGTCGATGATTTTAGCCGAATGGCATTTGTATATTTCCTTAAAGCCAAGAGTGAGGTCTACAAGTACTTTAAAGAATTTAAGGCATTTGTTGAAAGACAAACTGGCAGGAAATTGAAAGTTTTGAGAACAGATAATGGGGGTGAATTTTGTTCTTTGGAAATGAAATGTTTTATGCAAAAATCAGGGATTGCACATCAGAAAACAAACCCGTACACCCCGGAACAAAATGGGATGTGTGAAAGAATGAATCGGACAGTAGTGGAAAGAGCTCGGTATTTGTTATTTGACGCTAATATGCCTAAGAAGTTTTGGGCAGAAGCAGTTAACACTGCTGTATATCTGCGCAACAGGACCACAGCATCGGGATTAACAAAAACACCTTATGAACTCTGGACAGGCAGAAAGCCAGATGTCAGCCATGTTCGAGTTTTTGACAGCACTGCAATGACCCATGTTCCCAAAATGAAAACTGCAAAGTGGGATAAGAAAGCTGAAAAACTTATTCTGGTAGGATATGACAATAATGTAAAGGGCTACAGGCTCTTCAATCCCAAGAGTAATAAAATTATCACCAGTCGAGATGTTATTATCATGGAACATGCTCAGAGTACTTCCGACATGACTCAAGCTGTAGTAGAAGAAAAAAGTGATAATTTTGAAGAAACAGAACCCACCATAGACTCATCAGACCTAACATGCACATCACTTGAAGGTGATACTACTTTGGACGTGACTTATGTGCCAGATGACAAAGGAAGTTCTTCGAGTGCTGATGAATTCTTCAATATACCAAGCGATACAGACCACCTGAATGTACAGAACATAACTTCTGAAAAAAGACAGAGAAAAATTCCAGAAAGATTTGGTTTTATGTGTGTAGAAGGTGTAGGTGAAGAAAATATGACATATGCGGATGTTATGAGTGGTCCAGAACAAAAAGAGTGGTGTAGTGCTATGAAGGACGAGATGCGGTCATTCAGTGAGTGTGATGCGTGGGAAATAGTGGAAAAACCAGATAATTGTACCATAGTGAAGTGTAAATGGGTATACAAGAAAAAACTTGATAGTGACAATAAAGTGCGATACCGAGCGCGGTTGGTAGCGAAGGGATTCACACAGAAAGAAGGTATAGACTTTAAAGAAACCTTCTCTCCGGTGCTAAGGTACTCTGTTTTAAAGTTATTATTTGCCTTAAGTGTAAAATTAGAAATGAAAGTTACCCATTATGATGTCACAACTGCATTTCTAAATGGTAATTTGGAAGAAACTGTATACATGCAGCCGCCTCCAAACCTGTCTCTTAAGGGTAAAGTTTTAAAGCTGAAAAGGGCTATATATGGGATAAAACAATCTGCTCGAGCCTGGTACATGAAGGTGGATGAATGTTTACAGAAATTAAATTATAAAAAATCACAACATGAACCTTGCCTGTTTGTAAGTGAAACTAAGAAAACTTATGTAGCATTGTTTGTAGATGACTTTTTTGTTTTTTTAACTTGTGCTATAGAAGTGGGAAATTTAAAATGTGAGCTATGTGCTAGATTTAAACTGAAGGATTTAGGTCAAGTAAGAAAATGTTTAGGAATGAGAGTGGAGTTTTGTACTAACAAATTGAGGTTAGATCAAGAAGAATTTATTAATAGTTTGTTAATTAAATTTGGTCTAGAAAATTGTAACGAAACAGTCACTACTCCTATGGAAATTAATTTGAAATTAGATAAGAGTGAAAGCTGTAATGAGAAATATCCATACCAGCAATTAATTGGTAGCCTCATGTACTTGTCTTTACTTACCAGACCTGATATTTCATTTAGTATTAGTTTCTTGAGCCAATTTAATAATTGTTTTAATAAAGTTCATTGGCAACATGCCAAGAGAGTGTTGAAATATTTGAAGACTACAAAGTCTTATTGTTTAACTTATACTAAGGATGATTTGGATATTGTTGGCTATGTGGATGCTGATTGGGCTTCTAATGCAATAGACAGACGGTCTTATACTGGCTTTTGCTTCAAGCTTTCAGGAGCTGTAATATCGCATGAGTGTAGAAAGCAACAAACAGTAGCACTATCCAGCACTGAGGCTGAGTATATGGGTGTCTGTGAAGCTAGTAAAGAAGCAATATTTCTTAAAAATGTAATGTTATTTCTAACTGGAAAAGAAATAGGCCCTATTGTTATGTATAAAGACAATCAAAGTGCAAAAAAGCTAACTGAAAATTGTATGTTTTATAAAAGGAGCAAACATATTGATGTTCGTTTCCATTTCATAAGAGAAGCTGTTGCAAATAATTTAGTAAAAATTGTATATTTGCCTACTACATGTATGCCAGCTGACATCCTTACAAAAAGTTTGCCTAGTGTTAAACATTATAAGTTTTTGTCAGACTTAGGTTTATATACTTAGATTATTTGTTGATTTCAATGAGTGGTGGTGTTATAATTACTATTGTATGCATTGAAATTAATAGCAATAGATACTAGCGCCACTCGGTATTTACTTGTACTACATGTAATATGTTATCTGTGGAGCTGAATAAAGTCAGTCTGTGTCAAACACTTCCTGCGTATATTATTAAGTTGTTGATACATTGTGCATATTTGTATCTGATCAATGGAGATTCTTACTCGTTCTTCCACATACAATTTACCATTTGGAACAAGATCTTTTACTTCCACTCGGCTTTACTGAACCAGAAGGGTGAGGCATACAGCGGATAGTTAGCAAAACTTAAGAAACTACGAGAAATATAATTTATGATATTACAAAATCTCACCCAATGAAGCGATAATCAATGCGTCGGCGATCCTCTTAGCATCGAGACACAGTTCCACCGCCTCCTCCAAGTTGCCGACCACCAGCGCGCGGCAGATCAGACTCGTCGAATCTAACCAAACAAGAAATACACATCAAACAAAAACGAAAGGTATCTATTTTTTATAACACTTAAACATGAATGTGATGGAAGCTGAGGACTTATACAAGTTTATTTTATGTCGAAAGGTTACCGCATCGGCCCTCTGATTGGCCTGCTCCAATAACTCAATCAATCAGAGGGCTACACGCGGTAACGTCTCGGTCTCGTTAAACGTACTACTACTTCTAATCTCGTTACTAGACCCTCTTAACGGTTATTAAAAAAATATTGAACATACCTTCTCCATTAGGAATGACCACGTTGGAGACTGTCGGCGGCGGGGTGATGTCAAGGTTTGCCAGCTTCCTCTCTATCAGTGTGTGAGCATCCTGCAAACATAATTCTACTTGAAATATATACTTTTAGAAGTTCATGAACTGGACTGATTTTACTTTTAAGCTAGTTATGAAGTTTTAGCATTTAATTTGACCTGATAATATGCCATGAAAATACAGCATCAATTTTTATACTAAATCTTAATGAGATAAAGAAACGCAAATTAAAGTTTGCGCATTGCGCATCTTTTGCGCAAGATATTGCGCAACCAGATTAACTTAAAAAAAACGCCTATAAATCAGCTATAAATAAGGTTTTTGGTGCATTTCGCTGTACTTACTGAGAGATCAGTGCTGGTATCTGTAGACAACTCCGCCTCGGTCTCCGTGGACTCGCCCTAGCCGCGTTAAGTAGACAGTAGCATATTATAGAGCACATACTGAGTGAGCATAGATTAACAGGTTATTTACATTAGCTTGGTTAACTCCTTCACTGCTAGAATAAGATTGTGTTAGGTAAAAAAATAATACACTAATTTAGTTATTGAGCAGAGAATATAATATGGGTTTTGTTTTTACTTTATTGCAACGAAAAAGTTAACCATTAAGAAAAAAACAAAAGAAACGTGTCGTGTTAAGTAAAATACACGTCAGTTAATGAATTAAAGACTTGATATTAGCTTTATAAGTACTGAATAATATTGTAAGCACAAGATAATAGGCTGGTTATACGGCATGCGTTATAAAATACTAGTTATACTGATTTGTACTCACTCTACTCAAAGCAGCTAAGTCTGGTTGAGCGCCATCGCCCGTCGGCACGTTAGGACTCTTGAACTTTGATGATATTTCATCTTGTTTGAAGCCTGGACAAAGAAAAAAATAAACATGAATACTATGAATAACCACCGAATGTTTTACACGGCTAGATATTCATGTGAGCAATGATGGCTAACGTTTCTATTACACGCTAGGTAGCGCTCATGTAGCATGAGGTCTTTTATGTTCAATAGATAATTCCAGAACATTAAATTGTCAATTCCGATGTCTTTTTTTTGAGGGGGGAAAATCATCCAATGAGTTCTACCGCCCGGGTGAGGCGGGAGGGAGTGTCAGACTCTTACTGACTAAAAACCACCCCGTTCCTACTCCTGCACTTCGAGCCGGACCCGGGAACCGGTTGAGTCTTCCGCATCAGCCCTGTTGGGCCCCATCTATGGTGGTCTGATGCGCGCGGCCCGCTCGGCGCCGTACGCTCGGGCCTGGTTCTGGTCGGGCAGCGAGTCACCCGTGCTCGCCGTCCGCAGGCCCGTGCTTACGGTGGCCGGAGATCGTCTCGGGATCCCCGATGACCGGAATGTCTCTCGCGACGGCTGGGGCGTGAGGAGGTTCGTTCCCTCACAATCCGCCTCCTCCTTAGCTAGCATGACTGCTTCGCAGAAAGAGGACACGGTATCCCAGTCCCCCTCGCTCCGTACCATGGTCGTCAATATCGACGTCTAAAGTGATTGAACCTTTATAGGTTTATAGGTTAAGTCTTTATAGACTTGAGCTACATTAGCGTCTTCTGAAGACTCTTTAATCTAAGCGTTAATTACAATTTAGCTTAAGTTTGGACGTCAGACCATATGGTCTACATGGAATATTGCTCATTTAATAAAATAATAATTACTTACCAAGTAAATTAAGCGCTTCAGTTTGGAAGGTAGGCAGGAAGTTAGCGCGCAGGAAGAACCACGTGTAGCGTTCATTCTGGTCCGTGGCCGCGTCACCTTTCTGACGACAGTATCTAAAGTAGGACACAACATTTATTACGGACTATTATACCTTGAGAAAAATCTATTACAAATGTTCGTAAACAAATTATAAGGGTAGAAATATTTTTATAAATACATCGCATGCAGACCTTCCCGCGTCCTTTCAACCTATTTACTTATAATTCTGTTTTTTTATAGCATAATCCGGTAAACGAGCAGACGGATCACTTGACGGTAAGCAATCGGTGCCGCCCATGGACACCCGAAAGACTAAGTCGTTACAAGTGCGTTACCGGCCAATTGGGAATTTGAGGATTGTGGAGGATTTGGGGTTTCGGGAGACTAGGGAGGGGAGGTAATTGGGCCTCCGACAACCTCGCTCACACGACGAAACACAACGCAAGCGTCGTTTCACGTCGGTTTTCTGTGATGCCGTGGTATCACTTCGGTCGAGCCGGCCTATTCGTGCCGAAGCATGGCTCTCCCACACTTTAGCACATAGATTTTAGATAGCACATAAAAATTCTATTTGATACTACTATCTTTGCCTTTAAATTTTTCATTTGATCTTAGACAAGATATAGAATTTCTTCGCCGTAAGATTTAGAACATATTTAAAGGATTTGACAACAATACTGTATACTCAAAAGCAAAACTAGGGATTTTTAATTGAACAACATAATCTTTTTTTTGTACTCACTCAGCGAGTCTCTCAGTGGCTCCGGGGTCGTTACTGAGACTGGCCTCCAGGACTGCGTCTAACTCAGATGCCTTCTCTACAATCTCCGGTTCACTAACGACCTATACACAACATTTCATTAGGTTATAAAATATGGCATAATGACTGATTTCCTCTCATTAGACAGATAGATATATTTTTTATTACAATTAGGTTCAAAATTACTTGATGATTGATTCTTACCTGACTTATGTAGACTAGTTTCTGTGGTCCGGCCTCTTGTGGACATTTGTCGAATGTGACCAATTTGCCACCAAACTGAAAAGAGGAAATGTATTAAAAATTATAGATTTTATTTAAAGAAGTTCTCATTTGTATGTATTATATTGTAATGTAGTTTTATAATAGATAACTTAAAGAAGTGTTCAAAACCGACTTCCCAGTGGAACTGAAAAAGAAAGTAATGGATTCAAATCTGCTCCCAAGCTTAACCTATGCATGTCAAACAAGGAAATATAGCATCGATGTTAAGAACAAAATTATCTCATGCCAAAGGGGAACGGAGCTGCATGTTCAATATCAAAAAACAACACAGAATCCGTCACTCAAAAATCAGAGCGAAATCCAAAGCAATTGACGCAGTTTCATATGTACTTAGACTAAAGTGGAAATGGGTAGGTTAGGTAGCAAGGTTACAGGACAAAAATAATTACAACATGGAAAGGATCGATAGGAAAAACAAAAAGAGGAAGACCGCACACACGATGGGATGATGATATCCTACGAGTGGCTGGAGTACCCTGCCTAGATACAGCAGACGATCGAGAAAGGTGGCAGTCTCTGGAGGAGGCCTTCACCTCAAGGGTTCCCTAAAACTAAACTTAATATAAAATAATATGTTTGTTTAGAAATGTACATTACTTTTTAAACTGGGAAATATAAGGCATTTTTATTTTTATTTATTTATTATAATAGTTAGTATGTGTGTCGACCGCGATAGTTTGTAAGTTAACTCGTCGAGTACCGTCATTATAGACACAATTATAGAACAATAGGTTGCGGTCACCGGTGACCGCTTGGTGTTTGGTGGTTAACGCACACGTTAACACGCACGCACATGCAGACACACATGCATGCATCTCAAGCAGAGGGGAGCGGGCGGCGTGGCGGGGCAGCGACGGCTCGCGCGCCCTCCATATACACCTGACGACAACGCGAGCAAGAACGGACGGGATTGCGAATTTAACTTGTACTAATAGCCTACTCAAGAAAACCTATTAAACCAAGAAATACAGTCCACTCTTTTATTCCATCTGGGCCTATCTAGACAGTTTAAGGAGGTAAGGTACCATTTCTTATGCATGTAGGAAAGCTAGCATGTACCACTATGCCTTTTTTCAAGCAATTCATTACATTATTTTGAATATGCACTTTTGACGAATATTTAGACACCATTGACATACTGTTCGTGACTTTACTAATTTTTTCGCTTTGACGAAAAAATGTGAAACTCTTATTGACTAAAAATCACCTCGTTCCTACTCTTGCTTCAATTGGTAACCTGTTACCGATCGTCCTTAAACCTGGACTTTTCATAAGTTTAACATCGCTAACCCTCATTGAGCAGGAGTGATGATTAACGCACGAGCGTTAATCACCACTCCTGATCCTCTGATCTGATCTGAAGAGGACCAGCTCAACAATGTTTACTTATAAGCTGTTGATAATGACAATGACGACAGATTTAACAAGTTTTACACAAAATTGTTCATTTAAACCTTAATAGATACCTAACATTATTAAGCTATTTACAATTTTATTATGTATTGTACCTGTTACCATTACCAAAGATATATTTTGTTATGGGTTTGTGGCACCGACTTCTAACCTATCAGTGGGTGTGTAAGCTTTAAGTACGTACGACCATTAACCATTGTTCTCTTAGCTATCATACTACTTAATCATTGGACATTTAGTGACAACCACACCACACCTAGGTGTAAACTCCTCATCAATACAAATTAATCAAACACAAGATAGCGACTGTTAACCGTTGAGGAGTTCCCTCAACTATGGTACTACTTCATCATCAGACCCATAGGCAATCACATACCACCTAGGTGTAAAGTCCTCATAAATACATATTAATCACACCCAAACACATGATAGGTACTGGTAACCGCTGAGGAGTTGCCTCATACTATTATTTACAACCACACCACACCGAGGTGTAAAATCCTCATCAATACAAATTGATCAAACCCAAACACAAGGTAGCTACTAATAACCGTTGAGGAGTTCCCCTAAATTATAGTACTATTTCATCATCAGACCCTTATGGGCAATCACATACCACCTAGGTATAAAGTCCTCATTAATACAAATTAATCAAACCCAAACACAATGTAGTTACTGTTAACCGTTGAGGAGTTCCCTCGACTTCCTCTCGGTTCCATCATCAATGATCAACTCTAGACCTTTATTAGATTGTAGTGGTTTTAAATATTTAACGAAAAAATTAACAATTGCTCTAACCTATAATTTTTACCCTGGTACCGGTTACCCTGGGATTCCACCATCAGACCCTGACTTCATTGCAAGCCTACCCTTTCAAACAAAAAAAGATTTTTTGAAATTGGTCTAGGCGTCTTCGAGTAATCGAGTAACAAACATAAAAATGTTTTTTGAAGTCGTTTGAAAATAATATGTCGTAGTGTGAGTACTCACGGAGAACTTGGCAGCCCGCGGGCGACGCAGCCAGGCGGGCGGTGCGGGCGGCTGCGCGGGCGCGGCCGTCGCCGGCGCCGCCGCGCGCGCCACCGCCGGCAGCGCGCTGAACGAGTCCAGCCCGCCGAATGAGTCCATTATGTTGCTCGCGTTCTGGCTCGACTATAAATATACAACACGAATAATGAAAAAGCTAAAAACACGCTCTTAATCATCAATTCCATTCCTAATATACAAATATATATATAAACAAATATATAAATAAATATATACAAATAGCTACACAGAAAAGGACATAAGGAAAAATTATTTATTTCACACGCTACAAATCAAGAGATGAGTAAAAAATAATCACACTTTCATTAATTGATTTTATGACCAACTTAATTTTAGTACTTATCCAGCGAACTTTAAGAAATAAGTATGCTTTTTGACGCTAAAAAAAACATGACGTCACAATACAAAATCTCGTAAAAAATGACAATGACCAAATTTGTATGGAGCGTGGTGCCTTTTCATTTTTTCGCGGCAGTTGGTCGGATGTGGAAAAAGTGATGCAGAATAACATTACAAACAAAAAAATATATGGGGTCTTATATCAAAAACACAGTCCAAACCGAGTTAAATCAGTTCAAAGATGTGAAAATAGTGCTATTTATCCCTGTGATTTTGTTGATGGTGACCGTACACAACGCATATTTCTTCATTTACTTGTCAGAAATATTTTGTAATAAATGTTTATAAACGATTTCAAGTAATATAATAAAGCTTATTGTGGACATTTTTACTTATTTTTTTATTTTTTATTTTTTGTTATAAGGCCACTGAATCAGAACAGAGTGAACCATTAACTGACCACTGCTGAACAAAAAGAAACATTTCGCTTGATTGGCTAGCGTTTTCAATTAATATGTATACGGTTTGTGGCCTATGACAGATTTTCATAATCAATTTCCTCTCAGTCAAAAACCCGCAAAATACTTTACTGAGCCCTATCATGAAATGCTATGTTTGTCAGCTGCGGCGTCGGTAGCGGATTGAATAGCGCTGATCACTTTAAAAGTCGACGGTTTTCTTTCTTCAAAAGATTATGCTAACTATTAAGTAGATGAGTGTCCCACCAGGAGTCAATGGCAAAAAAAATATACTTTATTAAATGTTTGGACGGCTACCACTACTCAACCCACCACTGGTACCACAGCTGACGGTCATGAAGCTTCATGACACAACTCCTAGAAGCATCCCACAAGTTATCGACTGAGAGAAAATTGGTAATAAAAATTAGTGCCTGGCAATATGAATATATTGTGGTGTGATATGCTTTTCCAGTGCTCGGAGTACAGTGGTGCGCAATTTGTAGTTAGAAATTGTGACAAAACTATGAATAATTTTAATAAAAAACCGAAGTAAAATGTTTGACTCCAGCTCCTTTCAACGCTCATAACTCAGTCCAGACTGAGATTTCCATATATAAGCCCATAGACAATTTCGTTTGTAATGTCATTCTAGATAATATTTTCCAGAAATCATCCACTGCCACCAGAAAAAAGAAAGGCACCAATTTTAATCAATGCCCTTTATAGGAACTTGTCGTTTTTGAAGGTTCGGAAAAAGTATTGAATTGGACTGTTGGCAAGTACCCAATTAGAGTTAGAAGTGACTCACAATCTCGGGCCTGGAGCCGCCCAGCAGCGAGTGCAGCGCGAGCTGCTGGTCGAAGGCGGCGCTGGCCAGCAGGCCGGGGGCGCGCGGGCACCACGACACCTCGAACACCCACTGCTGCTGCTGGCTCACCTCCGTCAGCAACGCGCCGCCCTGCAGACGGATACATTTCGAACTACATCCGGAATAACCAATCAATATTTACATTTCTTAAGCATTATATCAACTTTTCGCCTCATGGGAAGAAGCACGGGATGCCATCGGAATATTTTGTGATCTTTCGAAGGCATTCGACTGTGTTGAACATGAGACACTATTGCTGAAGCTGGAATACTACGGCATTCGGGTGACGGCGCTAAAACTGTTGAAATCATACCTTCAGGATAGGCAACTTAAAGTACAGGTAAATAAAGTAAATTCGCAGGGTGCTAGCATATCTATGGGTGTACCGCAGGGCTCAATACTAGTTCCATTCTTATTTTTAGCATACATAAATGACTTGCCCCATTTATTTAAAAATGAACCTCAGATGGTATTATTTGCTGATGACACTTCATTAGTTTTTAAAATTAATATACGAACAAATAATTATGACGACGTAAGTAATGCCCTAATGAAGGTTCATGGTTGGTTTACATTAAATAACTTAGTACTAAACGATAAAAAGACAAAATGTATTAATTTGTTTTGCCAAACGTTAAAAGCAACGAATGTGACATATTGTTGAATGGTCAGAGATTGGAGTTTGTAAAAGGGACAACTTTCCTGGGAATTACTGTAGACGACAAATTGCAATGGGGTCCTAACATTACATTATTAGCGGGACGTTTTGAGCTCTGCAGCTTATGCTGTCTGGAAGATCCAAGTTAACTGACATAGGCACGGCAAGACTGGTGTACTTCAGTTACTTTCATAGCATTATGTCGTATGGCATTTTGCTGTGGGGACACGCTGCTGACATTGAATCTATCTTTATCTTACAAAAGCGCGCCGTCAGAGCTATCTACAATCTAGGTCGTCGCGAATCTCTCAGAGAAAAGTTTAAGGAGATCACAATTATGACCGTTCAATTTATCTATGAAAACATCATGTATGTTAAGAAAAACCTACAGTTGTTTGGTAAAGTGTCGGACAGACACCACTATCAAACTAGACATAAGGATAGATTAAGTCAACCAACTTTGAGATTGGCGAAAGTAGGCAAGTCGTTCATGGGATTCTGTGTTAAATGTTATAACAAGACAAGATACCAGGCGACATACAACACCTAAATGAAACAAAATTTAAATCATGTTTAAAAAAAACTTTATGTAAAAAAGCATATTACGAGGTTAGAGGATAAAAATGATTGGATGCAAGCTAGTCCGCCTCCACAGGATAACGAAAAACATTGATGTTTTAATGAAATCCAAACATGTAATTAATACAGCTGTTCGATACATATGCATGTGTGTGTGCCTATTGTAGTGTGAGTAAGAAGCCATCCTTTTAAACCAGTGTAATATTATAATACCAACTAGTGTGAAAATAAATCTGTTCAAGCAACACCTCTTTGCATTTATCCAAGCTACCTAAACTAAAAGTGAACCTTATTACCAAAACAACAGCTATGTTGCTCATTTGTATATTGTTTAACTTGCATAATTATTGTAAATGTGAGAGCCCTGTAATTAACTGAATATTAAATTAGAATAGTTGTATACGTTTGTGTCAGCTTAGAGTTGTCATGCTCACTCAAAGGTCTCATTGGCAGTGGCGCGTGCAGTGGATCGCTCGATTCCCTACAATATGGTTGAGTTGGGCGGTGCTGGTGTACGTGTCATGTTCGTGAACCTATTGTGAACATGATTGAAAAAGAGTAACCTATGGAGTTTCTTGCTCGTTCTTCTCCATAGGAATCCACACCTTGGAATGAGCAAATAGTTTCACTTTTAATTTTTTTTTTTTTGTTGACGTTCAAAAGTACCTCTCTGGTCTAATTGAAATAAATGATTTTGACTTTGACTTTGAAGGACCTCAGTTATATTTCATTCATTACAATAAATAAACACCTTATTTATAAGTACTCGAAAAAGGAACGATCGACGTCACGCAAATAACTTGTGATTATGAGTCTCGGTATGACTTGAAATTAGTTGAACATACTCGAATTAAATTATAAGCAAATCGTTATCATCAATACAAAAACAGTAGAATCTTTTTGTATTTTTATATATATTTTTTTTTTGCTTAAAAATATCTAATTTCGAAAGTTAAACTTTGAAATTTGCCTTATTTCACTATTTTGCAGAAACTCACAGGTTTAGTATCGTTGGGGTTCCAGCAGAGTACTCTCCCGTCCTTCCCGGCAGACAGCAGTAGGTCAGGGTCCTGCTTGCACCAGGACACTGACATCACGCCCTTGTGGTGACCCTCCAACGTCACCAGCGGAGACGCGGCCAGCCTGGTACAATCATACACTTATTTACAATATTCTGGACAATAAACGACTTTACAAGTAACAACTTAAGTTATTAATTTGTTTTGACAATTTATTTTATATGCATATTTTTAACTTAACTACACTGTTGGTCTTAAATTGTTGTGAACCTGATTGAAAAAGAGTAACCTATGGAATATCTTGCTCGTTCTTCTCCATAGGAATCTACACTTTGGAACGAGCAAATAGCTTCACTAGAGGACTGACCTATCTTATTATTTAACATTTAAATATTTTAAATATTTTAATTGAAATAAATTATTTTGACTTTGACTTTGACTTAAAAGCTATGCAACATGTCGTGGGTACAATTCTTTATGTGATCTACATAATTTATCCACATATTGCTTTTTCTGGTCTCGATATGATGTGTATTTGAAATTATACATTTCTAAACGCACCTACGAGATAGGAGAAAATCCTAGAGTGGGACAATAAAACAAAATAAAAAGTATATGTCACCTCAAATCCCAGAGCTGTATGACGGGCACCTGGTCGTCTTCGGAGGCAATGCACAGCTGTGTCGCTACGTTGGGGTGCCACGCTAGGGAACGCCATCTCGTCCGGGACTGAGAGTCGCTGGCATTTTATACAAAAAAGACTCTTAGGACTGTTAGGTTGGCAAGTAACAAAATATTTTATAAGGTTGGTAATATGACTTTTTATGTATGTTGTCACCTTGTGTTGTAAAAATATTAAAAATAATAAAGGTAGTTGTTCTGAGAAAAGTCGTGTGTTAATAGGTTATGGGCGATCTCTTATTAAAAAAATTCAAGTATTTACTAGTAATACAGTTTGAGTTTTTGTGCGACAATGGCTGTGAATTACTTGCAAAGTATTCCGAAGTTAAAAGGCAGAGAAAACTATGACGAATGGAGTTTTGCGGCAGAAAATCTGTTGGTGCTAGAAGGCATGTCGTATCATATTAAGCCAGCGACCGGCAGAGAAGTAAAGCCAGATGAAGACGCCAAAACGAAAGCGAAGTTAATTCTAACGATAGATCCTTCTTTGTATGTGCATATTCGAGAAACAACTAGCAGTCGAGAGTTATGGATTAAGCTGAAAAATATGTTTGATGACTCGGGATACACGAGGAAAATAAGTTTATTACGTCACTTGATTTCAATCAGACTAGAAAACAGCAGTTCTATGACGGCTTACATTACAGAAGTGGTTGATACATCTCAAAAATTAAAAGGTGCGGGTTTTGCCATAACAGAAGAATGGGTGGGATCGTTATTATTAGCAGGTTTGCCAGATCATTTTTCGCCTATGATAATGGCCATAGAACACTCAGGTATTCAAATGACCACAGATGCAATAAAATCGAAATTAATCGATATGGAAGTTCCAAAATTCACCGATACGGAGACCAGTGGCGCTGCATTCGCTGCGAAAAAAACGCATTTTCGAACGAATAACAACAAACATGGCGGATTGACCTCGAAAATGTCAGGTGAAAGAAATATTACTTGTTATAAGTGCAAACAAGTCGGTCATTATAGAAGTCAGTGTCCATTAATTAAGAAAAGCAAGGAAACAAATGCTTTTAGTGTCGTTTTCCTGCATGGAAAATACAACAAAAACGAATGGTACGTTGATTCCGGCGCCAGTGCACACATGACGGCCAACAAAGATTGGATAAACAATGCGAACTTTTCACCCAGTTTATCAGAAATTACTGTTGCCAATGACACAAAGGTACCAGTGGTGTGTTCTGGAGCCGTACGGGTAACGACAAGTTATAACTACGACATCACGATTAAAGATGTGTTGTGCGTGCCAAGTTTAACTACTAACCTTCTGTCAGTAAGTGCATTAATTAACAATGGAAACAGTGTAAGTTTCAGTCAAAATCATTGTTACATAAGAAACCAAAAGAATGTTTTGGTGGCAACGGCAGAATTGTCCAATGGGGTCTACAAGCTTCTAACTAAAGAAGCAGATTGTGGATTGGCTGCACCAGCTGTAGCGAGTGCAGAATTGTGGCACAGGCGATTAGCACATATAAATTGTAGTGACTTGATCAAGATGAAAAATGGTATAGTAGATGGATTATCATACCCAGACACAAGTAATATAACAAAGCATAAGTGTGTGGTCTGTTGTGAAGGGAAGCAGAATAGGCTACCTTTTTCTCCTTCTGGACAAAAGGCTACAGAACCACTTCAGATAATTCATACAGATGTATGTGGTGCAATGGAAACCAAATCAATTGCAGGCTCACAGTATTTTCTTTTATTTGTGGACGACTACAGTCGTATGACATTCATTTACTTCTTGAAACACAAAAATGAAGTATTTAAATATTTCTGTGAATTTAAATCTATGGTGGAAAACCAGCAAAATAAGAAAATAAAGATTGTACGTTCAGACAATGGCGGAGAGTTTTGTAGTGCAAAAATGGAGAACTACTTGACTGAACATGGAATTATTCACCAGAAAACTGTGGTATACACACCAGAACAGAATGGTGTATGTGAGCGAGCTAATAGGACCATTGTTGAAAAAGCTAGATGCTTACTTTTTGATAGTAAACTTGACAAAAAGTTTTGGGCAGAAGCTGCGAATACAGCTGTTTATATCAAAAATAGATGTGTCACTTCAAGTTTACAGAATATAACACCATATGAAATGTGGTATAAAAAAAAACCCAACTTAGACAATATTCGATTATTTGGATGTACTGTAATGGTACATGTTCCAAAAGAACGCAGGTCAAAATGGGACAAGAAAGCAGAAAAGTTTATTTTAGTTGGATTTTCAGAAAACATTAAAGGATATAGAGTCTATGATCCAGAGAAAAATACTGTTACTGTGAAGAGAGATGTAATTATCATGGAAGAACAATGCGCAGATGCACAGGACAAAGATCATGTAATCTGGGTACATCAGGATAATATGAGTGAAGACTTACCTGGTGATAGTGAAGGAGTGAATGCTGGAAGTCGAGATTCAGTAGGGCATAGTACATTACAGGAATCTCTAAGCAGTTCTGATACATCAGTGTCTACAAATGCAGATTCTGAAGACAGTGATAGCACTCTAACAGATAATATGTCTCAGAGTAAAATTTGTGAAGTTCCAGTAATGCCAGGGAAGAGGACACGAAGGCCTCCAGAACGTTATGGCCTGAAGGCATCAACTGTGTCTAGTGTATATCCAGAAGCTGAATTAATTAATTTTGCTGAGGCTATGACTGGAGTTGAGGCTGAGGAATGGCGTGCAGCCATGGCTGAGGAACTGGAATCGTTTAAACGTAATGATGCTTGGGAGCTCGTGGACACTCCTTGTGATGCATCAATAGTTCAGTGCAGATGGGTTCTTAACAAAAAAAGTGATGTGAGTGATAAAGTGCGTTATCGTGCAAGGCTTGTGGCGAAGGGCTTTACACAGAAACACGGTATAGACTACATGGACACTTTCTCCCCAGTGGTAAGACATTCAACACTTCGTATGTTATTTGCACTTAGTGTTCAGTCGGGCATGGACATTACACACTTGGATGTGACCACTGCCTTTTTAAATGGACATTTAAAGGAAGATATTTATATGTGTATTCCTGAAGGGTTTAAACATGATAATTGTAAAGGGAAAGTTTTGAAACTAAAAAGAGCTGTGTATGGGCTTAAACAGTCATCACTAGTATGGTATGAAAAAGTAAAAAATTGTTTGAATAATTTAAAATTTAAAAATAGTCAATATGAACCATGTGTATTTCAAAAGGTTACTCAAAATAGTAAAGTTATAGTTGCTGTATATGTCGATGATTTTTTGATTTTTTCAAATAATACTCTGGAAACAGAAAACTTAAAGAATGTATTGAGTTCTGAGTTTAAATTAAAAGATCTAGGACCTGTGAAGCGTTACTTAGGTATGAGAATCAATGTTGATAAGAAATTGAATACAATAACTATAGATCAACAGCAATACATAGATCAACTATTGTACACATTCAATATGTCTGAATGTAAAACTGTAGACACGCCGATTGAGTGTAAATTGAACATACCAAAATCTGAAAAATGTGTAACAAACATTCCATATCAAAAATTAATTGGCAGTCTTATGTATTTAGCTGTCCTAACACGTCCTGATATTTCATATGCTGTTAGCTATCTAAGCCAATTCAATAATTGTTATGATAAAATTCATTATGAGTATGCTAAAAGAATTTTAAAGTATTTACAAAAGACTAAAAGTTATTGTTTAGTATACAGTAAAGGAAATGAAGGTCTAACAGGTTTTGTTGATGCTGATTGGGCCAGTGATAGTCTGGACAGGAAATCATACACTGGTTTCTGCTTTGTTATGGGGGGATCTGTAATCTCATGGCAGAGTAGAAAGCAAAAGACAGTTTCTCTGTCCAGTACTGAGGCTGAATATGTTGCTCTCTCAGAGGCCACTCGAGAAGCTATTTATTTGAGGTATTTGTTACATGAACTTACTGATAAGTGGTGTATTATTAAAATTTATTGTGATAATCAGAGTGCTTTAAAATTGACAGCAAGCCAGCAGTCGCATAATAGATCAAAACACATTGATGTACGTTATCATTATGTCAGAGAGGCATATAAAAATAAGTTGATTGAAATCAATTACATATCGACACAAGAAATGCCTGCCGACTTGTTGACAAAAGGATTATCACCTAATAAGCATTATAAATTCCTGAATATGTTAGGGATTATTTCTGCTTAGGACAAATAGTAGTCTTTATAAACTAAAACATGTTAAAGTTATTTTGTTAAGTAGGGGTGTTAGGTTGGCAAGTAACAAAATATTTTATAAGGTTGGTAATATGACTTTTTATGTATGTTGTCACCTTGTGTTGTAAAAATATTAAAAATAATAAAGGTAGTTGTTCTGAGAAAAGTCGTGTGTTAATAAGGACGGGTACTAATTACAATATATCATTAAAAAAATACGGTAGTCTAAAAGAGTCACGAATTACAAATACAAAATATATGTTTGAGTATACTCTGTGCACTGGGTAATTGGGCTCCTACTCAGAATCAACATAACATAACATCACGCCTTTTATTCCCGAAGGGGTAGGCAGAGGTGCACATAATGCCACTGTACAATGTAACACCCGCTTTTCACTATTTATGTTGACTCCCATGTAATAGGGGGTGAGCGTATTATTGCGTATACTACTATACTAGGCGTAACGGCGTAACGACAAATGGAGTAAAAGAGTGACACAGTGGTACCCTAGAGAAGGCAAAAGGAAGAGAGGCAGACCGCAGAAAAGATGGGATGATGATATAAGACAAGTGGCAGGGCTAATGTGGAACCGAGTGGCTCTAGAAAGAACAGAATGGAAAAGATTGGAGGAGGCCTTTGCCGACTGGCAAACAGATCTTGAAATGGTAACCAAGAAACAGATATTAGTTTAAGTAGTTTCAGTGAAAGAATAGTTATTTGTAGTTTTAAATGTAAATTTATTTTAAACATTTAAGATCTGAATAAAAGGCTAAATTATTATTATTAATTATTACTATACTAGGCACAATTACAGACTTCGTGCTACTACTAAGTTTTTTTTAAAAAACCCAGCAATACTTTGCCCGACCGGGAATCGAACCCAAGACCCCTTACCCGGTAGTCGCAATTTTTTTTTTTTTTTAATGAGCGAAAATCATCGAATGACTGCTCCCGCCTGGATGAGGCGGGAGGGAGTGTCAGACTCTTACTGACTAAAAACCACTCCGTTCCTTCTCCTGCACGTCGAGCCGGAGCCCCGGTTACCCGTTAGGTTCTCCGCGACGGTAGTCGCACTTGCGACCACATGGCCAACGAGGCAGTATGCGAATTAAATATACCGATAACACCGAATTATGGTTATTAAAGAGTCAAAAACGTTTGCAATTAGCCTCACCTTAGTTTCATAATAGGTTCGTTCTTCCTTAAATCCCAGACAACGCATCTCGTAGCGAATGTGGACCCGAGAATATGTTGCACCTGTCAATACAATTTGTTTACAATTAATATAGTACAAAATTACCAAGTAAAATTTGCTTGAAGGGTCGGGTTTTCAACCGACTCTTTGATGGAATTTTCAGAAAAGGTTTTTGTATATTAATTAACCGACTTCAAAACTAAGAGGGGTTTGAAGTCGGTTTTTTTAAAACATAGTGTATAAAATAATTAATTCAAGCTTCTAATCATATGAATAAATTAAACAGAGATTTTTTATGGCATAACGAGCAGACGAAGCACTTGATGGTAAGCGATCGGCGCCGCCCATAGACACCTGGGACACCAGAGGCGTTACAAGTGCAAGGCATTTTAGGAATTGGGAACTTGAGGATTTCTGGAGACTGGGGGAGGGGGGGGGGGGTAATTGGGCCTCCCGTAACCTCACTTACACGACGAAACACAACGCAAGCGTTGTTTCACGTCGGTTTTCTGTGAGGTCGTGGTATCACTCCGGTCTAGCGGGCCCATTCGTGCCGAAGCATGACTCTGCCACACTTAAATTTTGGTCAAAGACAAAATTCTAGAGACTGCGAATAAAATCTGAAGAGCGAAATGGGGAGAGGTTCTCTTGATCAACTAAATCAATTTTAACCCAAGTCAAAGTCAGTGTACAATAAATAGAGGTAAGTTAACATGTTGTATATTAACTGTTTGTTATCAGTATGCAATCATTTATTCATTAATCAATTCACAGCTCCGAGCTGTGTAATCTGCAGTCGACGGCCAATTTAGTTTGATTGCCATAAGTTCATCCACCGCAATACAACGTATTATGAAATGATTCAAATCTACAGACCTGGAAGCCATTGTATGTATAATTGTATATACATAGTTATCACTTCATCCAAGTTTGTTTGCTACAACTGTTTACAAGGATGACTTCTTTAAAGTACAGTATACTAACACTCAGGTCGGTCATCGCGCCTTTTATGTAGGCAGAAATGCACATTAAGGTATTTAATGCCACTGAACAATGTAACACCCACTTTTCACTATTTATGTTAAGAGTATGTAATAGGGGGTAAGCCTATTGCCATATACCGGGCACAATTCCAGACTTTGTACTACTATGATTTTTTAAAAAACCCATTAATACTTTGCTCGACCCGGGAATCGAACCCGAGACCCCTTGCCCAGCAGTGACACATGCGACCACTCGGCCAACGAGGCAATCTACAGTACTACTTCCGTCGAATGCGATAATTATTTTTATATTGGATAGTTTATATATTTTGTGTAGATAGCATATAAAACATGGCGCTTCGATCAATTGGAGCCGAGCAGAGTGTGAATCTAAATACGCGCAGGTGTAACTAGTGTACGATAAAGTATGAATTCTAATTCTCACCTGTTGATTCCACGCCAATCCCTGCACATGGTCGTAAGGCTGGTTCCTGTTACCAGGCGCCATAGGCTGGCTCGTGTTGTTCAGGTCCCATATAAAGATCTCGCTCTCCGACGCCCCGGACGCAAGCAAGTTCTTCTGATACGGATTTATGTCTAACGATGATACATGACCTGGTGACAACAAGTTACACATGAGTAACAGCCGATTTTTCATTCAACAGATTATAATCTATATTCGTAGAATAAAATTGACATCTGACATTATTTTTTAACACATTGGATGCCATGTCGGACTATGATGTCCGACGCTAGCGGAGGACTGTCAAATATTCAAAGTGGAATAACTCTGATAAAATTTTACTGGCGTTGGAAAAATGAAAATCCTTACTAATATTATAAATCGGAAAGTGAGTTTGTTTGTTTGTTCCACTTTCACGCCGTAACTACTAAACCGATTGGTTTGAATTTTTGCAGGCGTAAAGTTAGAAGTCTGGATTAAATAATAGGGTACTTATTATCCCGGAAAAATTATATATTCTCGAGGGAAAACGAAATTATTGATATAGATGGCGCTATGTGTATTGGTATATGTCACATAGGCTACTTTTTATCCTTTTGTGACGCGAGCAAAGCCGCGGGTAAAAGCGAGTAATTAATATATTTGTATTTAGAAAGTTGTGGATGTGAAGATTCTGAAGATTAGCACGTCCACAAGTGCCAAACATTTTTTTATAATAACTATCGTGAGACATACTAAATCAACTAAAATCGCGGGTTACTCACGTTAATATACTGAGAAAAGCTCTAAGCAGCTCACTGAGTGAGCTGCGCGACGTCGCCGTGACCGCGCACTCTGCTCATGAGAAAGAACCCCTCTGTGGTTCGAAACTAGTAGTTTTTCTCAGTATATTCATGTTAGTAATCCGCGATTTTAGTTAACATACATCTTATAATCACTGATGATTAATATCAACATAACATAACATCACGCCTTTTATGGGAGGGGTAGGCAGAGATGCACATTACGGCACCTAATGCCGCTGTACAATGTAACACCCACTTTTCACTATTTATGTTATGTATAAGTCCGATGTAACAGGGGGTGAGCCTATTGCCATATACCGGGCACAAATCCAGACTTCGTGCTATGGCCGGCAGTCGCACTTGCGACCACTCGGCCAACGAGGCAGTCTTACCAGAGGCAATTTATGCATAATATATTCATTTTGTTAAAATTACTTAAACCACTCCAGTCTCCAGCATAATTGTACTGTCAGAAAAAAGTATGATATAAAGTTAACACACATAAAAAGACATGTCTGTATGTTTGTGATAATTATACTATGTATATGTATTTGATAACCGCGTCTACTGTGGCATGATGTCACTCAAGCTCCACTGGACATTTACTGTGACTACAGATAATGCGTTATCACGAATTTTTTAACCATTTAACAATACAGAAGCTTACGATAACGCATCTACTGAGTTTTACAGCATCATAAGTGAATGCTAATATCAACTCTACAGTTAACAAAATAGAGACACTTCTCGATTTATACACATAAAATTTATGAATGTTAATATCGACTGAAATCAATAATACGCAAATATGCTAATATCAGCTCTATCACTAAGGAAATAGAGGTAGTTTTAGCTCAGTCTGCATTTATTGATATGTGCTTGACTGGCACAGTTATGAAAGTAATTGGATAAAGAATGTCTTGAGTCAAAACTGTCGCTGCATAGATTATGTGGTAATTGTTTGGTTATATTAATGTGGCTGTATGCCCTAATTAAGCTTTGATATGTAACAGGGCAGTAAGTGATAAATTTAGTATGTTCAATTGTGTATGAATAATTTGTTTTGCATAATATTAAATTTTGTATTTGCATTTATTAATATAACATGCATAGTTATATGTTACATTTACACTTATAAAAATATTCCAATAAGTATCAAATTTAACAGAAACTGTTGTTATCAAAACAACCAATTATTCCCCAAAGGGTTACAATCCTCATCAATTACGTTAATATTTCAATTTCAAAACACATCAACTACCTATCTGTGTGCACTATTACAGAGAATCACAAGAATGATTTATTTTATTTTAACACTACAGATTATCTCAAGTGTGAGTGACATAACTACAGGTTGTCAATAGCATAATAACCACAAGTGGGCTTCTTTATTTATTTATTTATTCATTTATTTATGCACAACACACAGACAGTACACAGGAGAATAAATATATATAAATAATTTGGAAGTACATAGGTACTACATTCTTTGTGAGGTTTTCGTCTGAACTTTGTCTACTTATTCGGATAAATGAAGTCGGCTTCATTTAACTAAACAATGATTTTGCCATGGGCTCCGATCGGTATAGTTACGCCGCTGTTTGGTGTTAAGCCAAATATTTAAATTCTACCTATAAGAATATCTTTTCATAGTCACCAACAACAAGACAACTATGAAGTGACATTTTGCATTTATTTTGACTGATTATATAAACTTATTGGACATTTTGTCGGTTGTTGACCCATTTCACACATTGATAAGGATTCAAATTAATGTATTGCTTGTCCTGATAACATACAGACATTAAAATTATCTTGTATCACTTTAACTATTCAGATTACATCAATTTAATACAATAGTATAGACTTAGACACAGTTAAAAATACTGAGTAACATTTATTATTTTATTCCGTACTACTACTCCGTATTATTAGGTACTTATAAAACTGTTGGTATCAGAGCTATTATATATTCGAATATGAACAGTGAAATCCAATTTGAACCTTAAAAAGATTGTAATAAAGATTATAACATACTTACCATTATGTTTGGTACTGCTACCGAGGAGTGCATCGGGGGCATTTTGAATCAATTTCTCAGAACTGTAGAACTCTAGGAGCCCTCCATCGCAACCTCCAACTAATATACCAGCTCCAGACCATACTATTTTTTGGAATCTAAAACAAGACAAATAATTAGAATTATTATACTATGTTAACCTTTACAGGCAGCCTGTAAAATATGTAGCTGATAAATGGAATAAAATTTTATTAGTAGAAAGAAATAAAATGTATTTACACAGTATGACGCACAATGCAATAATTTTGAATAAATAATAAATTTCTAACACTTCGCAGTGAAACGGGTAAGTTGCATATAATTTAAAACATACTTTCACCTTGCATTTTGCTTGAAAACAATGAAATGAATGAATAAAATGACAAACTTTGAATCACATTAACTGCATTGTTAACCAAGTGGTCACAAGTACTATTGGGCAAGGGGTCTCAGGTAGGATTCCCCGGTGGGACAAAGAACAACTGGGTTTTTTAAAAAAATCTCAGTGGTTAGTCTGGAATTGTGCCTGGTATATGGCAATAGACTCATCCTCTATTGCGTGGGACTCATAGTCATAACATAAATAGAGAAAAGTGGGTGTAATATTTCACAGTGGCATTAAGGAATGTGCACCTCTGCCTACCCCTTCGGAAATAAAGGGTGTGGTATTATGTTATTTAATTAAGCAGATTCAGTTGCGATCTAGGTAATAACTTCATGATATTATTTTAGTTTTGATATTAAGTGAACTGTAAAGTCTGTATGGGAAAAGTAGGTGCTTAAAATAATTTGTAAAATAAGTGCAGTTTTAGCAAGTGCAGTTTTAGCAAGCTATAACTACCTCATTTTCTCAAAGCCTATGTTATACATTATCATTCAAAATAATAATAATAATGACTTGTTGACAAACAGGCTGACATTAATCAAAGTTACTTTATAAAAATGTTTTTAAGCAACAGTATTCACAATACCAACCATTTACATTGATCAATGGTTAATGGACAGATGTTTGTGAAATACTATTAATGAATAAGAAACTATATTTACATTTTGCAGTGTAAATAAAGATGACAATATAAGTAGCAAGGTTACTGCAATATTCTATAGATTTTAGTAATCGTTTTAAATTTTATAGACTGTATTTATTTTATAAAACAGTGTCTTTTAGGACTTGCCTAGTGATTATTCTAATAAGAAATTTAAAATTCTTGTTAAGTCACACATGAAAGAATCATGATCAAGAAATATTCTTATGAGAAAGAAGTTATTTTTATGTTCAATGACCAAACACAATACCAATGCTCCTCTTCTTATGTTTAAGCCATTTACATAGTAGACAGTAACTGTAGAACATACATGACTATTTTGTGTAACACAAATAAACCTATTTCACATATGTTGAACATAATTAAAGCAAGGTGAACTTGTACCAATCACTAATCCCATAATCCTACTAATATCATTTAAGTTTACTCACTTGTGCTCTGTCTGCAAACTGGATTTAAGTTCTAAATCAAGTCCAGGGTCTTCCAAGTTTAAGGAATAGAGCTCTAAGTAGGAACTTGAGCTAAACGAAGAGTCGACCTGCTGCGCTGCAGAGCCGGCCGCGATCGTCACCGGGTAGTGGTCAGCCGGCGACCAGCACACATTCACCGTCCTCTTCAGCTCCTTCACTTTCATCTTCACAACACTGGCTCACTATAATAAACACAAACTAACACTAAAACCACCGAAAAACTGTTTTATTTACCAAATTATGTCACAGAATTGGAACGCTTCCCACTGCAAATTAAGACTTAAAACAACTATATGCATTGAAGTCTATGATAGGATAATATGTAAAATGTATTTTTCTAGAGAATATAACTGTGTTTCAATTACAAAATCACATATTTACCATAAAAACACCAACTTGGCACTTCCAACGTGGCTGACGTAAATATTCTTGATTTTATTTGACAGCTGAGAAAATCAAGTGACATGACAGTTCGTTCGGAAACGAATAAGAAGGACACGTCATTTCTTTGTAACAATGGTATAACGGGATCAACGAGCAGAAATAATGATTTATCAAAATGTTCCTATAGCAACCAATACAACAATATTCGTTAAATGTTATTTTCTTTAATTGTTTTATTTAAAATATGTAAATTATGTAAATAACAGTCAATGCAGTCAAAAACCATTCGTAAAAACCTCATTTCTATTCTATAATCTAACCCGAACATCCTGTCCACATGAACCAATCAAGTTCTAGCAAAACGGAAGAAGAATAAATAACATCCTTCAAAACAAATCAAGACATTATAGAAGAAAGTGAAAAATAAATAAAACCATGTGCTTTTTTCTTAATTTCTCGTTAGAAAAGTAATAGATCATTTTCATTGTATCTTTACAGCATTTTTACTAAGAATTTGATTTATATTACTAATAGTGAGATACCGCTTCCACAATGCCGATTGTTATGGGCAAGCACGAATGGGATCGCATCCATGAATGGACGAAAACAGACCGAGAAGATCCGGAGATAGTACGACGGCGTGACTACATCAAGTACTTGGACACGACCAGTCGTAAAATGACGAAAAGTTGGCCAAACTCGTTAGAGGTAGGTGAATAGATAAAGGCACCTACACAAAGCTAAAGGTGCCTAAACCTGCCTACACAAAACTGCGATGTGATGTTGCATCGCAAAAATGTGCGAGTTTCCTCTAAGCATCATAAGAACTTGCGAATTGATTCACATCGCGCATAAAAATCTTATCTTCCCAAAATCTTCTTTGTTTCTTTTTCTTGTATCTCTTAAGTATGGGAGAGCCATGCCAGGCCGGGTCGGCCGGATCGATACCACAGCCTCACAGAAAACCGACGTGAACCAACGCTTGCGTTGTGTTTAGTCATGTGAGTGAGGTTACCGGAGACCCAATTAACTCCTCTCCCTAGTTTCCCAATCCTTGAATCCCCCACAATCCGCAAATTCCCAATTCCCAAAAGGCCGGTAACGCATTTGTAACGCTCCTGGTGGGTATTTCAGATGTCCATGGGCAACGCCGATTGCTTACCATCAGGCAATCGGACTCGTGGCTCCTTACCCGGCAGTCGCACTTGCGACCACTCGGCCAACGAGGCAGTTTACCGGCTTATCCGATTAAAAATCCTAATAAAGCTGTTTACAATTTTGAGTTATAGGTACTATTTTATTTGAGCTTAGTGCACCGACTTCTAACCTGTCAGTAACAATAGTAGTTAATTTCTGCTTTTTACTTTTTTTTTGAAGTCGGTTTTTTAAACGCAGTTTTTTTTATAATTTTTAGTGTAAAGCTACATAGACTCGTTTTCCCACTTATCATCCACATAGGTGTAAAGTTCTCATCAATACAAATTAATCAAGCCCAAACACAAGTTTACTACTATGCGACTACTTTGCTATAATGCGTAGAGGATTTCCATCGACTATCTGTCGAACTCAGACCCTTATCAAAGACAAGAAGAAAAACATAATAGACGCACTACTCGCCCCTACAATTTTAGAAAGTACCCCTCGGTTTCATCATCAGACCCTGACCCGATGAAAAAAGGACCCTCTCAAGTCGAGAGAATAACCTTTCAAACGAAAATTGGGAATCGGTTTATAAATGGCGGAGTAATCGGTGAACAAACAAAAAAAGAATCCGAACATGACTTCATCCTTTGTTTGGACTCCGTAAAAATCAGTATGAATACCTATATAGTTTTTACTTATTATTCATTATCTAATCATCCAGAATGTGAACAAACGCAACGAAGAACTGCGTCAAGCCCGCATTCAAGTCGCAGAGCAAGCCAACACCAAGTTCTACACCAAATACCTGAGGAAGAAGAAAGAGGAGCAGGAAAGACTCATGTATTCCGCTAGAGACGTGGTCTTCAAGAATAAAGATGCACCGAAGCAATTACTTAGGTGAAACTCTTAGAACTTTATTAACGACATGTACCTATCAGTATCTATTAGTCACAGTTCTGCTTCATCATGGGCTGGATAGTTTAATTCTTAGTCCATTCACACACTCCAGTTCGGAGCTGACTTCTGCCTGCTATCTGGCATCTGGAGCGTGTGAAACGTATGATTAATGTCGGAATACTGAAACGCTACTCAATTTTAAGTCGTGCTTAAGTATAGTTATTAGTTCTTTCTCTACAAATTCTTTGTAAAATGACAGAGATGGCACGATATTTGAGCACGACTTAAAATTAAGTAACGTTTCAGTAAAATCGATCATAATTTCTATCATCCCTCAGTGCAGTAATAGAGACTGTGATTCTGAAGGAGCGAGAAGTACAAGTGAAATTCTTAAATGCGCGGCGTGAAGAAATTGCTGCGCAGAAAAAAAAGGACGACGACGAAATCATAAGACAGGCCAAGGAGTTTGAGGAACTTCAGGAACTCAGAAAAAGGAGGAGACGAGAAGTGAACTTAAAACATCAGAAGGATATCCTTGACCAGTGAGTATGACAGTCGAGTTGCACCAACGCAACACCAGCATAACTGGTTAATTTACTTACACTTACAAGTGATTAGTTAATTTACTTAGTAAGTAAGTAATTTGTCCCACAGGGCCCGCGAAGTTGCAGAACGTAACCGAATCGAGTACGAGACGGAACTGAATCTTCAGAAGATTGACAACATTAAGGCCAATGAGCAGATGGAGGCTATCAAAGAATTTGAAGAGAAATTTGTAAGTTCACACTGTAGGTAGTTGTGTTATCGAGGTTAGATATCTACTAGCGGCAAGTATCAATGTGATTTTTTACGATTTATATTTACTCTCTGATTATTTAGACCCCACTGACAAACTGACAAAAGGAAAACACCTTGAGGAAAACTGGACTTTTATAATTTGGAATTATAAGTTGAAATCGCGAACCCGCAATAAGCAGGCGTGGTGATACTGGTGATATGATAAATGCCTCAAACCTTTTCGGTGCGAGAAAAGGCCTTTGCTCAGCAGTGATGTGATTGTAAATAGTTATTAATTAATCAAGTTCCAAGCTTCATAGTTTGGAACTTGATACGTTGATAACTAATCATACCTATTCATATATAGGTAGGTCATGAGACAATTTCTGGATCGAGAAAAATAAAATAATTTTTATTTTCGTAAATGTCGAATTTTATAAATAAATAGTGAACTAATTTTAATATTACGTCTTTTCTCAGAAATTAGAGGAGAAAGCTCGCATCTTTCGAGATATAGATCGTTCCCGAAAAGAGACTTTGGCAAGGAGACGCGAGCAAGAGGCCCGGGACAAGATGGACGATCGCCTGATGGAAGTATTACTCAAGTCTCGCTGTAGAATCGAGCAGAGACGTAAGAAAACCGAAGCTGACGTAAGTACCTATACCTACATGTCTGTATAGATATATATCTTAGACCGAGAGTTAGACCTAGGCCGCGACTGGGGCTGAGGCCGGAACTGACACCTAGATCGAGGCCGAGACTGAGCCTGGACCGAGACCGAGGCTGGGACCGAGACTGAGGCTGAGATGGAGGGCGAGTTCGATATCAAGTCTGAGACTAAGACTAACCCTGACATTGAGCCGAGGCTGAGTCAGAGACTTACCCCGAGACTGAGTAACTAAGACTGACTGACCGACTTACCTGTATAATTATAATAACCCAAGAATTTATTAAAGAATAAATTATAGAATCCTAAATGTACATGTATGTACTTATAATGTATGATAGGTGAAAAACGAGAAGCTTCGTGTGTTGGAGCAAATCAGCCATCGTTTGGAGTCTGGTGACGCGGCTCGAGAGGCTAAAGAGCAGGCAATATTCGATAAGGCTGTCGCTGAAAAGAACGCTCAGTAAGTCTATATAGTATATTGTACCTAGTATTTGGACTTTAGAATGTGGTGTCTGCTACAGTGACGGTGGTTGATTTATTTATAAACCTTTGTTATCAGGCAACTTACTTTAGCCTATAAATATATGTAGGTATACCTTACAGACTAGCATAAATATAATAACAGATATTCTGGAGGCTTGCGTTAGGCGGATGAATCAAGGGCCTGATACAGAAGGCGGCTCTCCTAGAATCAGCATGTATCGTTTCCGTCTCTGGAGCCCTAACCACCGGTAGTTTGCCAAAAAATAGGATTAGGTTTAATATTTTTTTGTAGATACTCTGATATACTTAATATAGTCATTTAAAAAGTCGTAACTTTGTGCTTATTTGTATGAGTATAATTTATTTGTATGAGTAATGAATAAATATGAATAGACTGGGTGGGTGGAGTTACATACTGATCCCAGATATCGCTTTCTATTAATCAACCGTGTCCATCAAGCCCAAGTTTCCTCACGATGTTTTCCTTCACCGTTTGACAGTGGTGTCTAAATCCTCGAAAAAAATATATAATTGTATATAATTCACGTGAGCGTTAGTAGATAATAATATTAACTTTAAATGTATTGTTAGATTTGTAACATTAATGCAACACTATAAGTTCCGTGTTTAACTCTGTAACTTCTGTACATATATATGTAGTATAATATGAGAATTTATCTTCTCTACGCAGAGACCAGGCGCGTCTTGATGCTCAGCGTAAGAAAGAAGAGATGTTCCGTCAACAGAAGGTAGAGAGCCGCCAGCAGTTCCTTAGGGAGCAAGAACAGAAGCTGCATGAGTTCAACACTACGCGCCAGTGGGACATTATGAACAGGTCAGTCGAAAGAAGAAAAAAAATGTAAAATGCAGTTAGCAATTCCCTATCTATCATACAGTTTAGTACCTACTAGCTAGGAAGTAATTTATCTTTACGTAGCTTACAAAATGTTCTGCGTTTTTTTTCAAATGATAGTAATGCGCATTGCCCATAAAAGAAGCTTTCAGTTTGGTTTTTAGAAAAATGTAATAAAAAATGATACACTTTGCTTGCAGGTTTAAGAACGTTGAAATATATCAGGACTACCAAGAGAAAATCCGTGAAGAGAAGAAACGTAAGATAAAAGAGTACAGAGAAGATATACTCAGATTGTGGGTAAGTGTTCTCTTCATCTTATATTGTTCAGACTAAACTATAAGCATTGGATACCTTCATGATTACTTATCCATCATCCATTAGTAAAAGATGACCTTTAATCAGATGCTAGACTGAAGAATTGGTAGTTGTGTAAAATGTTGATGGTTTGTGTGAGCCGCGAATTGTTGTTACGGGCCTCTGGGTGTGATATGTAGGTACCTAATGTGAATTTATAGTGTTATAAGAATAACGATAACGACTGCACGGTTGGTGCGGTGGCTGGGCAGCTGGGTGCTGGTGCTGGTGCATCGTGTCGCGGGTTCGATACCAGCACGGAACAACACTGTGTGATCCGCAAATTGTTGTTCCGGGTGTGGGTGTCATTGCTTTGGTAAACTGGCATGTTTGTAAACGCATCCACGACACAGGAGAAAATCTTAGTGTGGGGCAACGTTTTTTTAATGAAGGAAAAGAATAGATAAAAATATTGTTGGATTACTTTATAGAAAGAACGTGTGGACCGCGATGCTAAGGAGCGTGACGAGTCTCGCTACTTCTACGGTGAGCTGGCGGAGAAGAAGTTGAGGGACGCCGACAACAGACTGCTCACACACGCCGAGCACCTGCTGCAGGAGGCCAGGGAACATGGCCGCCCGGAGTACGCGCTGCATAAAGCGATCGATGTGAGTCTATTAAAATATTATTCGGTTACTCTCTATACAAATTAGTGATTCGTAACTGGCAAACTTCATAAACCTCCATGTAACTGTGTTTAAGGAGAGAGATTTGCAATATTTTCTGTTGCGAGAGTTAACATATCGCACAAATTAAAAGTTATTAACATCAGTCGTTCTGGATCAGAGGCGGAATCTCCCTGCGGACACGGTGGAACACACAGTGGGGGAATGCCCTGCGTGGGCTGAGCACCGCCGTGCCCTCAGGGAAGTGATCGGCGATGGCGACCTCTCGCGTCCGGGTCTAGTGCAGGCCATGATGCGGAGCGAGGGGGACTGCGATGCCGTCTCCTCCTTTTGCGAAGCAGTTATGCTAGCGAAGGAGGAGGCGGAACGCATGAGGCAGCGAAGCGCTGCCTCCTCGTAACCCAGCCATCGGGAAGGACACACCGAGCGTCGGGGATCGCGGGACGATCTCCGGCCACCCTAAGCACGGGCCTGCGGACGGCGAGCATGGGTGGCTCCCCGTCCGACCAGAAACAGACCCGAGAGTACGGCGCGTCGCGTTCCGCGCGCGCCTCAAAGAGCCATCAGACCACCACAGATGGGGCCCAACAGGGCCGAGGCCGATTCGGAGTCGCGGAGAACCTAACGGGTTACCGGGGCTCCGGCTCGATGTGCATGAGAAGGAACGGGGTGGTTTTTAGTCAGTAAGAGTCTGACACTCCCTCCCGCCTCGCCCAGGCAGGCGGGAGAAGTCTTTCGATGATTTTACCCCCTTAAAAAAAATAAAAATAAAAAAAAAACAAAAGGCAGCGGAATCTGTCACATCTTTTTATTATTTATCAACCTTATTCATTTGAAATAGAGTCCATAAGCTATTCCCATCCCAAATCGTCAAAAGGCCAGTAACGAACTATGCAGATTGCTTACCATCAGCATACAGCTGATCTTCTTGTTTTGCCACCCTATACGCCTACCATTATAAAAAAAATGTTATTTTCCAGAATTACTGCAACCTATACCGCCTGTACCCGATGCCGGACCTCCCCAAGTCGCTACAGGAACACATGCGCGAGTACGCGCCACGCGACGGCTCGCGGCCCGACCCCGGCTACCGCGAGCCGCCGCCGCCGCCGCCCGCGCCGCCAGTAAACCAACCCACTACCTTCACTGCTCAACCTGGGAAGAGGGATGGCATGCAGACTGCTACGGTAAGTAACATCGTCATCCTAATCATATCAGCTCAGGTTCACCCACTGATAGGTATAGCCATCCTCCTTTACGACCTATTGAAAAAAAAAAATGAAGAATGCACTTAATCATCATCAACACCAGCCCGTAATAGTTCTGGACTAAAGACCTCCTCTGAGGGAGTTTGCAGTTCAGTATCATAGAGCACTGCTGCCCGGTCTCTGTTGATTATATAGACCCTTTCTCGGCTCTCACGATTCCCCTGGGAGGAGGGTCCCTTACATTATACTTTTTTTTATTATAGCCTGCGCCCCCTGCTGCAGAGAAAAAGGAAAAGAATGAAGATTACAAGAGATCTGCGCCGGCTAATGGTCTCCAGAGGAAGAACATAGAGGTAAAATATTATCAAATGGAGTTTTGATTGATTGAGATTGATAATGGAAATTGGCTACAGTATAAATTGTATTTTGTATTCCAGGAACCATTGTCGCTGCCCCCAATCTCGGTAGTACCATGCACGACCGAAGCGTGTCGGTGTGAACTGAAACCAAAAACGAAATGAAACGATTGTATTTTACAAAATATTTACTTTTATTAACATAATTATCAATTTACTTTAGAATGTGTTTGTCAAGTTAGACCTCCCACACATTAGTGGCTTGAAACGCGGCTGTGACTCGCATTACACATGAATTTCAATATTAAACAGTTGAATATTGAGATTGAAATATATCTGCGTAGTTCCTCCCAGCGACCACGCCGTCGTCCGCGACAAGCCGCGAGTGTGCGCGAGGTCTGTGTAGAGAGCTTGTATGGCACGAGTGATGTTATACAAGTGTGACTAGATAATAGGTGGTGTCAAATTGTAAGTGTATGTAGTAAAGCTAGTCTCGGTCCTAAACAGTGGGTTTTACTTAAAATATAACAATTTTGAAACTAATACTAGAACTTAATTTACCTAAATCTTTGGTCGCAATGAGTGTAGACACGTAGTTTTACAATTTGCAAAAATATTTTAATATATATATATTAATTAATGAAGATTCGTGACCTATATGTAGTGCTTGTGCTTACACTGTTACATTTGGCGGGTAAGTCGAACAGATTTAGTGATAACAAGATATTGTATAATTTTGAATATGAATACAATAAATAGATCTATCAAAGGAGATTTCTATAACCAGTCCAAGTTGACTAAAACGCATTCATATAAGAGAATGTTGATCTTACCTATCAAGGTGTAACAGTGGTACGTTTAAACAGTGAAGGTATATAAACAAGTGGACCTAACAATATCATGTACTCGCTCTCTCATACACTGGAATAGTATATAAACACAGCTTCGTAATACTCTCGGTTTGCTTTGGCTTACACAATATTGTCTAGCATTACAACTAATGCTATTGCATTACGTCAAAATATACAAAAAATATCTAAACTTAAAACTGTATTGCAATCATTGAATTTCTAATAAAAAATGTACCAGACATATAAAAAAGAAATATGAATGTCAATAGGACGCACCCGCAATAGCATTCGTTTTACAATCAAACAAAATATTCTAGACAATTTTCTTCTTGTTCGCGCGACACTTGATTGTCGTAGTAGGAATGTTTTAAAACACGAATGTGTGCAATATGAACTGTATTGCTGTAATGACAGGAACCAAATGATGTTTTAATGTAACTCCAAAGAATGTACTTCAAAAGCTATGGTGTTTTGATCGAGGTGGATTGGTATCGAGTGGCGCGCGTACAAGAAGTTGTCGAAACAATTAGACGGAACGTTCGTATCGGTCGTGACTTCGTGTCGCGTTACAACTAACTTAATCTAGCTTGTACTGTGCGTTCGTATTATAAACTAAGGATTTACGTCAAACGTTACACTAAAATATTATGCTAAACATTATTATTTATACAATGGCATGAATTTGTGCTGGCTGGCATAGCCCGTGGTACATTATACTGCCTCGTATGAGCAAAGTGATCATTTTACATCATAAAGGCACTGACGTTTTTCAAAACAAGAACAGTTTGAAAAAGAAACGTTATAAGCTAACATCACATTTATCACACAAGTCATAAAGTCTGTATTTGAAAACATCGAAATAAGTAACTTGCCTTGTGACAATATGAGTCCAGCTTTAGTAACAATCACATAAGAAACAACTTTATATTCACATTGGTACCGTATATATTGCTCTGAACTAGTCTGAAGGTAAGGAATACTTAGTCTACATCATGAGGGCCATTCCGTTAATGTAACTAAAAGGCTGGTACTAGTAAAATATAATATTTTAACTATCTATTCGTAGAAAAGTAAGCCTAATAATACGTCAATATACTTTAATTTATCGTGTCGAAATACATACATCTAAATATTTATTTACAATGTTGTATTGGAGTGAGAGGTACTATGGAGTCGGGCAAGGTTCGATATAGGGCATCACATTGTTCGTCCAGCACTCACTCGAGGGAACTAATAGGCGGAGTGGCAACAACCGAAACGTGGAATTAGGTCCTCCGAATTGTGACTCCTTCATTCTAATGTGGACTTTATATCTATTCACAATAATAGCAACTGCTTTATACATTTACACCCGCACCAGAATGAACGGAGTCATAACACATAACATTAAATCTAAACAATAAATTAAGTAACACAAATAAACTAATGAATTTGGCACTAATCTAATACTTATTTCTAACCTGGCCATGAAATGCATTGCGAAACATTGAAATGCTTTACATAATTTAAATATTTATCAATATGTACTTAAAATTTTATACGTCATCGTTTAACAGTCACGTAGAATTTGTCATGAGATTATAAGAATGAAATTAATTCTCAAACAGATCATTGGAAAATTCGGTGGAAACATTTAATTTGTGGTAGCACACTTAAGTGTAAACAAACTGCGTTGGTAATAACATTATTATTACTGTTATCTCTTGATATTGGATACAATATTATATCATTCACACTAATATTCATATAAATTTCATAGCAAAACCCATATAATTGAGACTTATAATGTCTGTAAAAGACTTATCTCAATGAGTGGCGTGTGGCACTGCGGTGCTATATACTGCGTGAGATGTAAACCTCAGTGGGGTGGGGGGCGCGTGACGTCACGTCCGGCGTCAAGGCACGTCGCGTGAAGCGTCCATGGCGTGGTTAAGGCAGCGACTCACTAACTCCAACTTGTTCAGGTACGCGGCCGCGACCTCGCCGCGAGGAGAACTGTCGAGTTGAAATGTACAACTATGTAGACTGATCTGATGATAAATGTTGTGTTTTAAAGTAAGCAACTTACCTTAGGATGAATGGGTCGTTTTGTGGTGAGTTTGGAGTGTACGGCGATCTTCTCACAAAGTCTCCCACTAGGAAAAAATTGCATCATATTATATTATTCTTTTATTATGCCAAAAGTCACTAAACTTAGATCAATATAGTGCAAATATTATGTGGGTGATGTCTTACGTCCAGGCGAGGCGGGCAGGTTGAGCCTCATCTCATGTTTGAGCACTCTCCGTGCGAGCGTGTCGGGCGCGGCGCGGGCACTAGCGGGCGGGCCGCGCTCGCGGGCCGGCGGGGACGTGCCGCCGTACTGACTGTTACTGCACACAAACACACTTACTTTTAATTCAACGTTCATGACCTAACATACCTGGTGAAAAATAGGTCAATTTGCCTACTCGTTATAAAATGTCGCCACAATGATATATTGTAGTTTTTACTAAAGAGTGCCGTAAGATATGCAGACACAATAAAATATCAGTTAGAGAAATAGCATTATAAAAGTAAGTAATGTATGAGTACGGTGCGGGCGTGGCGTGGGGCGGGGCCCGCAGTATGCAGTGCGCCGACAGCGCGCGCACGTGCTGGCGGCGCCGCACCAGGAACCCCATGCGGACCACGATCACCACCGCCGTCGCTATACATCTGCAACCAACAATATTGTATTCACCACGCGCTATAGCTAAAACCTTTGCCAATTACACTCATAAATATGCCCCAAGAATCACAATCAATCAATATACGTTACCAAAAATTTTAAGAATAAAAAAGTATTAACATCTAACTTACAGACTATAGACTGTTAGCCCAAAACATGAGCAAACTAAAGGAGCTAATCATAACAATTTAGTCCAGAACAATGATCACGTTTAGACCAAACTAACATGGGATGCTTTTTAGCCAAGTGGAGTAACGAAAAGTTTTATAGATCATTCTAAGTGGTGTTTTATGGTAGTGGGGATAACTATATTGACGTAAACCAAGAACTTACTTGAAACGCTTCTTTCCCTTGCTAACTTCAGGCGCTCTTAACACGGGTAGTCTTTTCTCAAACTCCGTGTATCCCGCTAACACTCGCTGCAAGTACCGCTTCTGCCAGACGAGAGCTTTGCGGCAACTCTCTAAGCGGAGGCAACGACCGTGCAAGTAACGTATCTGAAAATAAAATATCATCTATTTTAGTATATTTTCAAAGACACTTGTATCTGATAAAGGCGATATGAAAAAAGTTCCTAAAGAAATGAAAATAAAACAAAACCTTTTTCCTAATCAAAAAACTAATACCGTAGACGCCTTGAAATTTAGAACATCATGTTGACATTACAATTGTCGCTGGGATGTGACACGAAATACGTCATATTCCGCGTTTATAGTTTTATATTTATTTTATATAACATAAATTCTGTTGTTTTATAATGAAAACACAGTAAGGAGCAGCCGGTGGTAATATGGAGGCACAGAAGAGCGATGCACCAAAACTGCCGGATATGGTGTAAGTACAAATCAGGTACACGAATATGGGTGCTCAGACTTGTGATACTATGTTTTATAGTATGTTAATTCTGAAGAGCTGTCGTGAATATTGAAGTAGTATCCATTATTGCAGCATGTGTGGGGATCATCCGTCTTTCACGAAGACGGAGCTCAACGTGAAAACAGATGGAAAGGTGGATGACAAGGACAAGGCGAAAGACAAATCGTTGTCCTATACTAAAATTACGCCATCCGTATGTACTATGACGATCCTAATTTTGTAGATAGCTTGTCGAAATAAGGGTGTAAAGATCTGGGGGCACGGGACGGCCTCTGCACAGTCTAGTAGTTGTTTGTCGACTCTCTAGGGAGAGAGTAAGCAAGTTTAGAGTTAAACTCTCAAGATTTTGTTTTATAGTAAAATAGTTTTTTATTCTCCATGGACTCGTGTCCGTGCCGTTGTCATTAATTACAGTTAAACTCGGGTTAAGAATAAGAGAAATGATGGATTGACGATGAGAATTTAGGAGCAAATCAAGTGTGCATTAGGCATCTCGCACGGAGCGCGGCGAGTCGGGCAGCTCGACGAGTGCGCGCGCGCGCGGCTCGGAGCACGCGCTGCGCCTGGCCGACGCGCGCCGCCGCGTGCGCTCGCTGGACGCCGCGCAGCGCCCCGACACCGACCTGCAGGCCACCGGCAACCGGGCGCTCGTGCAAGGTACTCCTTTTTTATATTTCATGGGCCGACGTTTGACCACTATCTCGCCTGATGGTAAGCGATGATGCGGTCTACGATGGAGCACGTCGTCCCATAAGCAACCTATTCCCTCGGGCCTTGAAGACACCCAGGTTATACCCTTCAGGAAATACAGACTCTGCCTCATTGCATCCTACGAGTACCGTGTCATAGACTCTATTTTGCGTGATATATACCTACTTATCCCTACACGAGAATCCATCTTCAACCTCTCAAACTTTCTCAAAGAATAAAAGATGATTAGTTTTCATGTTACAATCCTATATTTAGTTCCCGTTTCACAAAAGAACAATCAGTTTGTCAATAAGAGAAGCGGTATGTTTAACCTGTCACTACTTGTTATAATGATTCCGTTTTCATTTATTGTAACTATTTTTAACCTTATGCATGCAACCTAAAGGTTTATGTATCAATACCGTAGTTGTAGTAGTATAAAGTCCCCCGGTCCCCAGCGGCGCTGGGCAGCTTCCGCTGGCCGCCGTACCTGCTGTGCGTGTGGGTGCTGGTGCTGGTCCTGACGCACGTGCTGCACTGCCTCGTCAGTCTGCTCGAGCGCGCGCTGCCCGCTCTCAAGTACGATACGCACTTACACATGTATTTGTTTCATCCAAATCTTTACATTGATACATAATTGGATACAATTTTGTCTAAAATTAAGATGATTCAGAGCGAGAGATTGGAATCGGTAGATAGTTTAACATCTAAACTAAAGTTACTACCCTCGTTCTGAACTTCTCCCAGTCAGGCAGTCTCTATTATGCCTTTAGTCAAATGTCATTCTGTCTCCTGCGTAAATTCACGAGGGAAGTGAAAACAATTGTTTTCTTTTCTTCCCTTCTAATAACATCTTTTAATTTATTTTGTTGCGAGATCCAAGACAGTTATATGTTATAGTTCTTGGGACGGGTCGGACTTCAGTGTTCCGGTATGTTCATGGTCATATCTACTGTAGATCCACAACTGAGTTACAACAGTTTTGCGAGCTTGCGTTGATTGGTCTTTAATTTAGTTACATTGTCTGTACATAACGTAATTATTATTATTACGAAAGTGTACGGCGCATAGTGTGGCCGGCCACAAGTCCGCTGTGTGTGCAGACGGTGCAGCCAGTTGTTCCGGTCGTGGACGGAGGAGTGCTGGCGCGGCGCGGGCGGCGCGGGCGGCGCGGGCGGCCCCCGCAGCCAGCGCGTGTACCCGGCGGGGCTGGCGGTGCTGACGGCGCTGCTGTACACGGCGTACTTCTCGCTGTACGCGTGCTACGCCGTGGTGCTGTGGGCCATCGAGCCGCTGTGCGCGGACGACGACAAGCGGCCCGACGCGGAGCCGGCCGCCGTCACGGACTACGACGAAATCGCGCCCGGGCCCGCGCCCGCCGCCGTCTAGGGCCCTACTGTCGTGCCTACCTGCCTCATTACGCTGTGTCGTCGACATTAAAATGACAATTACACCAGCCTTCCTTCTTTTTACTTGTATCTGGTACTCGATACGGTTGCACACTTAATTGTGTATGTTTTTACCATTGAAATGGCCCCTAAACTCTAAATATCGACTTTTGTATTAATAAAATAATCAGTTCTAATGCGCTTAACGAATATTTTTGTCTAATCGAATACTTTGTACATTTCGGCCGAAAGGCCTTTAAAGCTTAGCACTTGAAACGATACGAAGTACCTCAGAGCAAGACAAATTATTTACGTCAAACGAATTATCCTATAATTCCTCCGATCAAGTACTGCTTTACACAGATGTTTTACAAACTTTTATATTTCAATAAAAGCATGCAGGCCAAATGCTATGTCCTAGTATACTTACGCTACATATCAGTACATTCGTATAAGCCTTTAATTCATTATTTAATTAAACAATAATTATAAATCAGACACATCACTATAAAGTTCAGCCTTACATCTATAAACAGAAACACTGTAGAGAAGAGTGCAAGCATTTAATAGGACAGAGACTCACGGCGTGGTCGCGGTCGTCGCTAGATGTCGCGGTCTGCTCGGGCGCGGTCTGCGCGGGCGCGGTCTGCGCGGGCGCAGTCTGCGTGTGCGCATCCACGGCGGCGCGGCGCTGGCGCGGGCTGCCGCCGCTGCCGGTCGCCAGGCACCGCTTCAAAGCTGCTAACTCGCGAGACAGTTCTGACTTCGTGCTTTCGATTTCAGTCTGTTGATAATATAAACATACATGGGTTTATTCTCTATAAATTGACAACTTTTTTAAAGTCTAATATAAACAAAAAACTTAAAAGCGAGAAGAATCTGTGAACATGTATGCTCGTGTGTGATATTATAACTCCTAATTGGATGACGAAATAGATATGATATGTCAAAACTTATTTGCTTTTCTTTATCTGTTTTTTTAATAATAATTAAAGCTGTATTCTTACCAGTGCATCAACAACAGGTCGATGGTTTTGAGAGGAAGCCAGCTTCCTCTCCAGCTCAGCGATGGTCGTGCTTTGTGTATTGATTAACTCCTTGGATCGCAGTAACTGGACGCCTGCGTCGTGTTTCAGTCTAAAACAAAACATTTACATTACAGTTAATATTAAAAATGTACTTATTATCATAAAGCTTATTTTTCGGGGAATCAGAATCGAAGCATCGAAGCGAAAATCCGACTATAATTAACAAATTCAACCGCGTAATTGTACACATTACTTACAAGATTTAAAAAGACGCGGGAGAATATTCACGTACGCGCACGCGCTGATGAGCGTAATTTTGATGAATCTTCGACTCTACGCCCATATAAATATAAGCTTCAACATAGGCAACTTTTTATCTCAATATGCTTACTCTTAAAGGATTGGGTCTTGTCTGAGAAAAGCTCTTTGAATTTAAATACTAAAAGATCACACATAAGTCCAATGGCTTATACTTAGTAGTAGGTAACCGCCTTGGCGGCTAACACGCCGATATCATGCCTGCATTAACTGCAGGCAGACTTTTGGGATCACGGGCGCCCAGAGTGGGCACTTCAGGCGCCCACCCAGTGACCTCAGGGAAGACGGTGGCACAAAGGTCACGTGCCACTAAAAAAGCTAGGCGCCTTACGAAGGTTTCATTATGTTATAAAAAAAAATGGTTTCCATCATAATGGGACCATACATAAATAAGAAGAGGTGAATTATGCGCAAGTCACAGGTATAAAAGTTTAACTAATATTAACTATAGAGCAACTGACCTCTTGATCTCGGCGAGTTCAGTCTTCAGAGCCGAGCAGTGTTCGTTCCTAGCGTTGAGTTCCCGCTCGTACTGCAGCCGCGCGTGATCCAGCATGGCCTGCACGTCCATCATACGACTGCGCTCCACTTCTAGCTTGGACTTCAGCAGGGATACCTCGCCTTTTAGCCGCTCGTTGTTTTCAATCTGTTGGGCAATGGCATGGTTGGTGCAATATTGTAATGAAATAGTTTTAATTTATTTGGATCTCAGGATAAGTATTCTCTTGAAGTGGAAACTATAAGAATGATACATAGTCATTTTCGTGGTGGATCTTTAGAGAGAGTTAAACTGAGTACTAAATACTGTACTTGTCATTTGGGCATAATTTCACTACTCGCATACCCCACGACTACACTGTAAATCTTAAAGAAACTAATCAAAAAGGCCCCAAAACAATAAAATGAAATTCCGAATACTCTAATGAAATAATTTCGATAAATTCGACTGAGGGCCGATTTTTCCAACGCTAGCCAAGTTTTATGACAGGAACAATTTTGAATATTTGACAATTCTTCCTGTCAACTGTCAATTTTATTCTACAGATATGAATTTTAATTATGTTGAATGAAAAATCAGCCCTTAACAGAAGAAATAAGTTTCAAATTCCTTTACTGTAAATATTACATGGGCCACAACTACATGGCTAGGAAACTCTAAGAAATCGGCGAAAGAATGTCATTAATGTACCTCATGTTGCAGCTGTGCGTGTTTCGGGTCAGTAGTGTCGAGTGCCTGCCTCTGTAACTGCGCGAGGCGGGCGCGGGACTCTTGTTCTCTCTGTTGGAGTTCTAACTCAGACTGCATCGATGCTTCGAGACGCTTCTTGAGGATCTGGATCATGTTGGAGTCTTGGCTCTGGAGATGAATAGTAGGATGTTGATGATAACGACATGATTGATATCGGTTGTTCTTTTTTTAAATACAGAATTGTAATGCTCGTTGCGCCCATTGTGCAAAAATTCTAAGTAGTAATAGTATCAAGAAGTTTGGAAATGTGTCATTTCGCGCTTTAGACTGTATGTAAATGGGTTAGTTGCGTAGCCCAGTGAGTAGTACAATGTGTGTCGGTACCTGCAGCGAGTGCGCGGTGTCCCGCTGGGCGTCCAGCAGTAGCTGCAGGCGGCCGGCGTTGTCCCGCTCGGCGTCGTAGCGCAGCTTGCACGTCTGCCAGTCCTGCACCAACTTGTCGCGGACCCTGCACCGTACACACGCCGGCGTTGTCCCGCTCGGCGTCGTAGCGCAGTGAGTGAGTAGTACAATGTGTGTCGGTACCTGCAGCGAGTGCGCGGTGTCCCGCTGGGCGTCCAGCAGTAGCTGCAGGCGGCCGGCGTTGTCCCGCTCGGCGTCGTAGCGCAGTGAGTGAGTAGTACAATGTGTGTCGGTACCTGCAGCGAGTGCGCGGTGTCCCGCTGGGCGTCCAGCAGTAGCTGCAGGCGGCCGGCGTTGTCCCGCTCGGCGTCGTAGCGCAGTGAGTGAGTAGTACAATGTGTGTCGGTACCTGCAGCGAGTGCGCGGTGTCCCGCTGGGCGTCCAGCAGTAGCTGCAGGCGGCCGGCGTTGTCCCGCTCGGCGTCGTAGCGCAGTGAGTGAGTAGTACAATGTGTGTCGGTACCTGCAGCGAGTGCGCGGTGTCCCGCTGGGCGTCCAGCAGTAGCTGCAGGCGGCCGGCGTTGTCCCGCTCGGCGTCGTAGCGCAGTGAGTGAGTAGTACAATGTGTGTCGGTACCTGCAGCGAGTGCGCGGTGTCCCGCTGGGCGTCCAGCAGTAGCTGCAGGCGGCCGGCGTTGTCCCGCTCGGCGTCGTAGCGCAGTGAGTGAGTAGTACAATGTGTGTCGGTACCTGCAGCGAGTGCGCGGTGTCCCGCTGGGCGTCCAGCAGTAGCTGCAGGCGGCCGGCGTTGTCCCGCTCGGCGTCGTAGCGCAGTGAGTGAGTAGTACAATGTGTGTCGGTACCTGCAGCGAGTGCGCGGTGTCCCGCTGGGCGTCCAGCAGTAGCTGCAGGCGGCCGGCGTTGTCCCGCTCGGCGTCGTAGCGCAGTGAGTGAGTAGTACAATGTGTGTCGGTACCTGCAGCGAGTGCGCGGTGTCCCGCTGGGCGTCCAGCAGTAGCTGCAGGCGGCCGGCGTTGTCCCGCTCGGCGTCGTAGCGCAGTGAGTGAGTAGTACAATGTGTGTCGGTACCTGCAGCGAGTGCGCGGTGTCCCGCTGGGCGTCCAGCAGTAGCTGCAGGCGGCCGGCGTTGTCCCGCTCGGCGTCGTAGCGCAGCTTGCACGTCTGCCAGTCCTGCACCAACTTGTCGCGGACCCTGCACCGTACACACGTCACGTTATTGGCGACATATCGAAGCATAACTCTCCCACGTCAACTTTTCACGTCGGCACGAATGGGAAAGCTGTACCGCCTCACAGAAAACCGACGTAAAACAATGCTAGCATTGTGTTTTTCCTTTGTTCGTAGTAACGCCTCTGGTGTTTCATGTGTCCATCCTTACATATATTATAAATCGGAAAGTGTGTTTGTTTATTTGTTTTGTTAGTTTGTTTGTTTAACGCCGTAACTACTAATCCGATTGCTTTGAATTTTTGCAGATGTATAGTTAGAAGTCCGGATTAAATAATAGGGTACTTTTTATCCCGGAAAAATTTGATATTCCCGAGGAAAAACAAAAGTATTGGTATAGATGGCGCTGTGTGTATTGGTATATGTCACATTGGCTTTTTATCCTTTTGTGACGCCAGCGAAGCCGCGGGTAAAAGCTAGTATGCTATATAAAAAGAACTACGTCTTTGGATTTGACTTCAGAAAATCACATAATTGCTCTGTAGAAAATCAGCGTCTAAAATAGTTTAGTCGTAGTTTTTGTAAAGAAAAAATGCAAAATGGAAGTTTAGTGGATTTTCGTACGAGTTGTGTTGTAATTATAATTATATCAGTACAGTACCTGTTAAGTTCAGCAATCAATGCGTCCTTATCCTTGAGCCTGGCCTCGAGGTTGTTGACCTGCATCGTTAGCTTGTCATTCTCAGTCCGCAGTCTATTGAGCCGGTCTGATGACGACGAGTGAATTGAGCTTGATGATCTGCAATAGCAAATATCATAAATATGTGGTCTACAGAACTAAGTAAATATTATGTATAAACGTGTACCAATCTGTATTTTTCTCATTATATTTTCGACTTCATATCAAAAGAATACAGTTAAAAATCGAATGGAATTTGACATAAAGAAGTAGGTGGACTTGCTGGTATGCTTTTAACACAAAATCAATTTAAAAGCATGAATGTATACTTGTAATACTCACTTGGAAGTATTTAAAGCTAGACGAGGTATGTCTTCTCTTTCGTCACTGCTAGCTGATAGGATCTGTTGAGAAGAAATTGTATTAATGTTATTATTATTTTTTATTAATATGATTATAATAAGTAGCCATTTTTGCCATGTTCATCATGAGATATAAACAAACCAATTTAAAAGTTTACTCATATTAATTATTTGAGAAAAGCTCTACTAGTTTCAAGTTAAATCGGGACTCTTATTCCTACGCAGGGTGT